ATATATATATATATATATATATATATATATGTTAGACCTAAACTAATATAGCGCAGTGACTAATAATAATAATAATAATAATGAAACTCACAGCAAAATGAGTAAACAGAAAGAAAAACAATGAATAAGTAATTGTTACAAAATCAAAGACAACTTGATAAACAACATTAAACAAAAACAAGTACATATAGTTTTTATGAAAAAATAATTCTGGATGATACCGGTCTAACGGCAGTAACTTGTTGATTAGAACCGAAATATTGCGCTGCAGACATCATATAACACTGACCATTACGATGAACAAGCATAAACTGACCGGGCTGAAAGTCACAAAATAATTATTCTCTATCCATAATACATTAATTAATCTCAACTCTATCATCCTATAAAACAAACTTACAGCTCTGAATACTTGACACTTTCAGAATCAAAATAATAATAATAATAATATTAATATCAATATTAATAGCCATAACACCATAGAAACTGCAACCTCGAACAGCTTGACAAAAAAACAAAAGCCGAGATCACTAATATCAAAGCATACAACAACACTGCAACTTTGGATCATCAAAATGTGTTACATTCATTTTCTACCGCAATGAAATGGTAAAAATAAACATTCCAAGGACAAATTACAGTAAAACTATAAACATAAACACAATACATCAAGATAAGATATGCAAGCAAAAGGCTTTTAATAAATAACTTTGGATGAAAAGAATACCGGAGCCGATGTCACCATTATCGGTGCTTGTGATGCCATTTGCATATTAACAGAAGAGCTTGTGCTCGATATAGAAGCTCTAAAATGTAGAACACATATAGTTTAATGAACTAACAACGTTATTTAGCAATTCTAACTAAATCAGCTGAAAAAAATCTCGTCAAACTTGACTTGCCACACTAATTATAACTGTATATTTTGAATATCTCTTTTCCATCGAGTAATTTACTTATAACTTTCAAGTGATCTTGAAAACCAAACTATCTCCTAGACCGTTAAATCTTCTGAAATATGATTACAACTACATAACCAATTGAAAGTTCTTGCACAAGAATATTCTCACGATTCAAAAGGAAGAAAGCCTACTTATTTTTATCATCGACGTATTTTTTGGCCCTATAAGACGGTTTACGACGACTTCTTGGCACTTGCTGAGGAGCTGATGAAGATGTTTCAATTTTGCTACTCGAAGCTGATGATAACGATGCAAACAATGCAGCTTTCGATCCTACTTTCACATTTTTATCACTAGTATTCGCTTTTTTTGTATCCAATGCTGAGCCTTTACTTGAAGAGGAAAAGTAAGTGCTGGATAAGTCTGAATTATATCCACATGTAAAATAAATTCACTTTCACCAAATAACCATGTCAACATAACATCCTATCTAACAGAGATGAGCAATATACAATTAGGTCTAGCTATAAACTGTAATGAACTGAATAAGATTTTGGCGAGTAATAATGCATTACAGTGAAATTAATCTATAGTGAAAACAAAAAGTATTGCAGTGTAAAAATGAAATGGATGAAAATCGCGAATAGCAAAGTTTCATCAAATATTAAATGATTTACTTTTCGTCGTCGCACTTGACGAACTATTCACTTTTGCTGTAACACCACTATTACTGCTAGTACTACTTGCCACCATCGATAATTGCTTTTTTTCATTCATGAAAATCCTAGAAGCAAAAGAAACAAGACATAAAGGAAACATTCAAATTAATGAAGAACTCGGTCACAATTACATTACATTCTTCTCCTGAGCAAAAATAATAATTTATACACAGCAATTCTAAATAGTATCTTACAGACACGATAAGATGCACAGATTCGCAAAAAACGACATGAACAAACTTAAGATTCTCTCAGGTTATCAAGTTAGGTTGAGATAATATGCTTTTTCCACACAGTATGCATAAAGAAAGAAAATGCATTGCACCAAAACCAACAAAACTTAGTACAATAATATAGCGCAAGCAATTAATTCCGAAACTTAAAAACACAATTCGAAGTGCTTATAGGGCAAAAAGTATAAAGCGATGCTTACTTTCATCTAAATCTGTCTTAGTTCACTACAAGTCTGGTCTTCAACGTAATACCAGCAGAACAAAACAACCGCATAAAAATAAAAGTAAAACCCGTCTAATGAAACTGTTCTCTGGATAAATTTCGGGTGTATGTTCACCCTCTTGCAACTAACTTCGTAAAATTCGGCTGGATGTCCCATCTGAATGTTTGTGGATATAGTGTTCGGTAAATTGTTTTGATGTCTGTTTTGGTGATGTGATCTTCTGCAAACTGGCGAAAGGCACAAAGAATTATTACTTATCTTTAAGAGCAACTTTAGAATGGTGTACAAACTGTCATGAAGTGATAGCAAGTTTAATGCAGCATTGTGTGCGTTGTTGTTGATTTCGTCCTGGTCTTATTAAGTGTGGTTACATCGAGAGCTGAACTAAGCTGCGCATGTGCAATAATAAATATTATGCTACCTCAATTAAGTACCGTTTTATGCTATAAAGTAGTGGTTGTCAAGTCATGCAAATACAATGCACTTGTTGTATGTTTATGTTTCATGGCTTCTTGGTCCCATATTCGTCGCAGTTGAAAATCTATTATGATATGGTACCTCAGTCTGCAACCGACAATTGGCCTTCAAGCTGTCTTATATTACGAAACACAGGAGAAACAATAGTTATGTCTGATGGAATTCTTGGACCAAACTTCCCGCTATCGTTCTCATTTCCAGAACGGTCTTTATGTTTTGTAAGAGTCATATATAAGAGTTCTGAGATAAATACTAAACACACACTGTGCAATAGACTCATTTTTCATTTGCTCTGTAAGATTGGAAATTTTTCGGTAAGACAAATATAACCCGTCTCATAAAGGAGTTAACCGAAGCTCGATCATCTCGGATGCAACCGGACAGTCACATTCTGATTATCTCCATGTTGATATAATGCTTTTCAAACGAATCCATCACTTTCTGTATCAACATTTTCTTTATCATATGTATTTGTTGGGTTTCTTGTTATTTATCGTTCATCAGTTGAAATGTATCGAAATCTAACATTCACTGATGTATTTAACCGTTGCAGACTATTATTGATGCAGTGATGCATGTTATGTAACTAAGATATCAAGTTCAGTTCTGGATCGGCAGAGCTTTGTTAATGTGGCATAACTCATTCAATTTCGCAACTTTCCTTCAAACTTTTCAATAAGTAGAATACACAACCTAAACCATGCACCATTTGCACACCTTATGAAATATCCTGAACAATTTAACGATACTTCGACACTGGTATATGTGACGAGTAGTGCAGCAATTTTACCCATTTTTTGACTTAAATCCTCTAAGTTGGAAGACTGGAAATAATTCGAGCAGTACTGTTGTCGGAAATATCTTTACTCTGAAATCAGGAGAAGGATATGCCTCGTGACGTCTTCAAGTGCTTTTTGTGTAGACTTTGTCGTTCACATCATTTTCTAGTAGTCCAAGACATGCACAATCCATGTTTTGGCTGAATTTCTTGACTGTGACATGTATAAACTTCAGAAATTTATAAGATATGAGATCAAAACAAAACAATTGTTATGAAACAGTGTAAAGAAAATTATAATGAAGAAACAATGAGCTAAAAAGATGTTAAACACGCGATTCGACAGAACAGCGAACGAAACATCCATAATGCACAATAAAACGTTGACATAAGATCATGTTAAATATTTTGATCGTGGTGCTTCATACGTATCCAGATCTGCTGTTATGTGACTGAGTGTATCTAAAACTATAGTCATGTTTTAAAATTTTTAGAAGAAAAACTCTCAATAGTCTGTTTTGTATTAACGATTAATTCTGTTTATTTTATTTTATATCCAGACATGGCAATTACACAACGTGCCAAACATCGTAAGTAAAATCTCGTAAAACGAGCTTTTACTCTACATTGAGCGATTCAGATATATTAAAACAAAATTAAGAAGTGATCCCTAGAAAAAAAAAGAAAAATATGGGTTCTACTCGTTAACACGCCACATGTATGTGACTAACCATTTACTGGAAACCCTGTGCTGGCAGCTCACAGTACAATTTATTTCATACCAGTTTACGATAATTTATAGTGAAACATTCAAAGAAGAGATGAGGTAAAATTAACAATTAACTTCAGTAATATTTCTATCGCTTTAGAGTTATGTTAATTCATGAAATGTGGTCAAAGTATTTTTTCTCTGAGAGTAACAGAAATGAGTAACTTCTATTATCTCGAGAACTTACTAACAGAACAATGAAGGATTCTAACGAAAAGATTTGTAAGACCATGCAAAATCAAAGAAATAAATACTCTGCATTAGAAAAGAGAATTTAGAAACTTACGTCGAAGGCGCTGCCCAAACTGGCATCCTAATTGTGTTATATGATGCAAGGAATGCTGCATTCGATGATAGCATTTGTGCTGCATAGGAGCCAGTTTCTAAACGTCTCATGTAATCAGCAGTTTTTTGCATTAGGTTATTTGCCAGATTACTGTAAACATAAATCATGTAAATGAGTACAATATCATACAGACAGTTTGTAGAACCTTTCAGAAATGAATGCTTTTATATTTATGAAGAAATTCATATAATGTATGCACTGAAAAAAAAAAGCTACTATTGTCAATATGTACAAGCGACAAAATATCATAAGAACAGAATAAGAATTATAACTGTTCACTTGCAGAACAAGTATCTGAACAAATTTATAAGTACAAAGGTGTAAAATTAATTGTTCGCAATTTACTTTTTGCGAACAATCACAGAGGTGCCATGCTACAGTTTCTGCGACACATATTTTACTTATAAACTAAAACTAGATTTATAAGAATTCCAAAACTAACTTAAAAGCCTTGTTTTGATGGAAGAGCTGATCATGCACGTTCATGCCTGGTCTACGTTCTAAAATTCCGGTCACTAAAACAGAGAAATACAAAAATATATATCCAAAATGCTGAAAGAAAGGCCTGCAACAGAAGAAGAAGGTTCCATTAACTTTAAGAAGTCAAATTAGTCTTTAAAAACCCTCATAAATCGTTTTTATACATATATTACAAAAACACAAAATGAAAGAAATAAAATTACATGAAACCGGATACAGCTGTGGAGGAGTAAGATCACCTACTACAGGCCCATTACTCCGTGGTTTCCTACGCCTTACATCTACATGATCATAAGAATGAAGTACAGGTGGAATAAAGGAAAGTGGATTTGAATGATGTGGACGCCTCCAACTGAAAGTAACGCATTTTCAAGTTTGTTAATATTGTAATAAAAAAAGATTAAGACTAATTATGAAGCAAGAAGAGTGGCATTTTCATATATGATACAAAATAAGATGCTTGTTTCAAATAAGATTCTTTTTCATATTCAGTTTTTTGTAAATAAACATACAACTGTTTTCTATATCCCCCTCCAAAACGCAGTACTGGTGGTGCTGGATACATTGGAACAGATCGAAAATTATTTGAATGAGTGAATGTCTGTCTTCCAAAACGTCCTGTCCTAAATGCAATTCTTTGCAAAATTAAAAAAAAATATCTAGGAACAAAAGTTTTCATCTTAAAATACGGTTGAATTTAAATGATTACTGAAAATAATATTCAAGTGAAAATTTCATATTTGGTTTAAACTAATAATCTGAAGAACCATTTATGACTACAGCATATACAATTCAAACCAGTTTTATGAGAAAAAAAAAGAGCTAACCTTTTCCGCTTTCGAGATGGTCCGCTTTCATCATCTTCAGTTATTCGTCTCGAAACAACAGGAATAGAATTTCTTTGCGGACCTGACGGTTTTAAGAAGGAATTTTTTACTTCAATATTTTTTTCTGCTGGTTTAATACCTTCACAGCAATTTTGACCACGATGATGACAGCTCTGACTTTTACTGTTTTTTGCCTTCACTGAATGGTTCCTTCCCAATAGCTTTTTTTCGACTGAAACAATTTCCGTAGCAGAACTTTCAATCTGATTCGTCTCTACATTTTGCAGTATTCCTGCCCCTCTTTCATATTCACTTTTTCTTGTCTGAATAGTAGCGAGAAATTCCTTGTATGTTAACAGGCAGTACATATCGGTTTCCGGAGTTGGTACAATAATGCGATCCCATCCATGGAAATCCACTGAAAAATTTCAGTTCTTAAAATACAAATTTTTTTATATGGTAAACTACCTTAATTTAACAACAGCGCTTCAATACAACAGTTCAAGAATGAAATGATTCTATCAAACACCGATTATCTAATAAGCAGTTGAACCCATTTATAAAACTTTCAAAATAAATGTTGCCAAAAACATCTATGATTACTGCCTATATAGTACGACAGATAGTTTTAAGTCATTTATTCCAAATTAAACATGTGCTACCTTAATTCATTTAAGAAATCGATATCGTTAATAATATAAACTAGGACCAGAAATATAACAAGCATCGAAAAGAAAACAGTACTCACATCAGCCTAACCACAATAAGAAAAACATACCAGTGGGAAAGTATACTTTGACATAATTTTCTGACGAAGTCGAAGAGCCAAAACTGACGAAATCATTATTAAAATGAGCAGCTACAGCTTCTCGAGTACTGGGAAAAAGCAAGATAGCCATTCTCACTCTGCAAAAGGGAATTTTAAAAATGCCACAGAGTCTCTGAAAAAAAGCATAAGTAAGAAAAAGTAAAAATGTATGTTCTACACTAAGCAACAAAAATACCAATGAGACCCAATTTTAACTGATGAAAAGTATTACGAAATAACAATAAAATTAACATCAACATCTAAAAACAATTTTCTAATTCATTTTACAAGAAACTTTAAGAAATATAACAATAAGCAGTAATTAGTGCAAGTGTTTGCACCTTCTTGTTAATCAAATTATGAATGCAAAATACTAGGAATATATAACTTTCGAAAATGCAATACTTACCCACGAAAATCCTTTTCAAAACGTACACTTTCGATGGGATAATTTTTGAAACAAGTCTCACGAATTTCCTTTTCTGTAACTTGATTGCCCACAGGTTTAATAATCAAATAACGCATACTCTCTATTGGTTCCCTTATTCGACCCAAGCGACTTTCTAATATTTCTTGATATTTTTTCACCCATTTTGCTGTAAATCAGATGCCTCACCAAACAACACATCTTGCTAAAGAGGATTCGAGATAATCAAATAATCTTTCGACTAATTTTATTTCGCAATATGATCTCTACGAAAACAGAAAAGTCAGTTAACTAAGGTAAATTGATGAGAGGCTAAGTATAATTTCAGTTAAAATCAAATATGACTAAGAGATGTAATGCTGCAACAGATGAACTCAGAATACCATTGTTTTGTTTTCATGATTTAAGAGAAAATATACTTTGAGGCAAATAAATTTTCAGTCGATGAGCACCAGTTCGTATATGAACAAGATTGTTTACGGCACAATAAGCAATAGGATGGTCACTTTGAAAATAAGCTTCAATTCGTCTAAAAAAATTAAAAATTCAGAATACTTTAGAGAACATGAACTGTAGTAGTTTTTGGATAAATTATCAACTAACCCATATAAGTGATTGAAATCTGCTTCGATCTTTCCAGCTGACAACGGAAATACCTTAACAACTTTCTTACAGTGCAATAATGTTGTGTAAAACCAAGGATTTTGTGTATCTGATGACAAAACGTTCTCAAAAATCACCAAGCATTTGTCTGACTCATCTTTGCACACTATAAACGATTTATAAATAGCATCTCCACTTTACTTTTGCAGCAATGAAGGAAAAATGACCATAGAAAATTTCTGGAGACATATACTACAATTACTACAATCCCATCAAAGCATAGATACACAAAACAAAGCATACGGTGCTGCAAAACTCACGTCTCCATTGGAATTCCGGAGCGCCATCCCAATCAATCGGTAATGATTTATAATAATCCTCCATCAATATTTTTTTCATTAACTGATCATCATCAATTTCTTCATTCAAATTCGTTGCCGCAGTATCTTCTAGGTTTTCCATTACAGTAGACACTATTCCTGTATCACTTTCCCTTCCACTCGCCTTCCACTTAATATTTCCTAGAAAATGCATAAAAGATATTCGACTTAAGAAAAGAATGAAACTAGTACCATTGCACCAAACAAGACTCATAATTTTTGTTTTCTAATATTTAATAATCAAAAAAAAGTTATAGCTAACAAACATAAAACAATATCAACTTGCGTTTAAAAAGTTACCTTGATTTTTGAAATATAATTACTTCCTCCAAACGACCTACATGCTTTATTTTACTGAATAAATTCCAAGTAATTACACTCATCTTGCAAGATAGAAATATTGTAATTTTACTTTCTGTCATATCGCTCATGACTTTATAACAAAGTAAACAAAGAGTGAATGACCGTGAATACTTTGCAAAGGCCATGGGATGACATAATAAAACGTGATGTGTGGTGCAATTACATAAATTTGCGAAAGAACACTTTCCGTTAGCATTATGAATAATTCAATAATTAAAAGAGTGAATACAATGTGTGACAGCAATGTAGAGATATGGCTTTTACTCATGCATTTTCTCTACTTCAATAATAAAAGTAAAAGCCCCACCATTTTCGTCTTCTTTCTTTGCTACTGGCAGTGATTTATTGTCGTTACAAAGTGCAGAGACATCCTGCTTCAACGCTGTTGCTGCATATACTGGAGTACTAATATCAACATTTGCATCAACAACAACAGAAGCAGGAAAAGCAGTTATCGGATTACTATTAAGCGCCTCAGTCATTTCAAGGCTTGTAGTCCTTGGTTCGATAAGGTCTGTTGGTTTGGTTGCGAGATAACGCACTCCCGATATTAAAAAAAATGGAATCAAACACTTTACGTCTAGAACCTGAAGTATACGCATGCACTGCAGTGAATTAGTCTAACAAAAAAATGGTTTCAGCACATAAATATGCAAACTCTAATTAATGCACTTTTTATATTGCCAGCTTCTACAATTAGAATTTCGCAAGTGATACAATAAAATCAATTTCGAATAGATCAGTTATTCATTTAGGCCATAGCAGTTTCTTATATATTATTCCATCATTGCTTATTTATTTCTGCTGCATAATATTCAGTTGAAAATGTTGAAGTTAATTTTATGACGAATATGTAATTAGGATCGTTTTCAACATTTTCAGTTGCGTACAGAGTAAAAACATATTCCAAATGACAGGAAAATAATTTTAATTTATCTGTAAAGCTAGAAAAACAGTCATTACAAAAAGGTTACAGTGTTTCTGAGATAATTGCTTCTGAACCATAACAATGAAAGGAGTTTATTGTTACGCAAATCGAAAGAACAGATCACAATAGATGCAATTTTTGAAACAAAAAATGATATAACCATTATGCATCCCTAAATGTACACATGAAAATAATGAAATCATTTTCGACAGAAGACAATAAAAATAAGTCAATCCCGTAGAAAAAACGAATTCAAATATATCACTGCATGTATTACAGCACTATAAACAAACAAAAAGTTTCATACACCAATATAAATAAATAGTGCGGACTTTTGCCGCAAAAATGATTTCGAATTCAGTGTTTTGGGAACACGAATGAAAAATAACACTAATGATAAGCTGTAATTTTTTGTCTCATTGAAAAGCATACAAAAGTAGATGACAGACCATACGAATGGCAAAAATAGATATAGTCAGCGTGATTAAGAAAAACTAATTATAACTTATCTAATAACTACGAAATGATACAAAAATGGTAGCAGTGAAACGAGTACTAAAGTAGTGCATTCAATCACAAAAATAAGATCATGACCTGCTACAGAGAATGAGATATTAATGCTGAATTTTAGAATGAAATACATGGTGCAAATCCTAAAATGAAGAGGTAGGAACAAGCTGATTTCATTTTCAGAACGAAGAAAGACTGCTGCGGAATGGGATGTCATGCGAGAGGTCTTGATCCCACACATTTTTTTGTAATAAAATAACATAGCTGCGTACTTCAATAGGCTGGAAAACTATTCTTCATAATTCCACAGCTGTCAGCACAGTATCACCGACAGCGGTTGCAAGAAGAACGCCTACAGTAACACACCTACCCAATACAATGTGAGTCTTGACTAGAAGAGTTCCCACACTTGCACCATTTGTTGCATAATATATATGGCAGCATAAAGATTAAGTATGACTCACGCAGAACGAAATGAACGAGATCTATTGCGGTTTTGGATATTGCATAAAGCTGTTTCACATAACAGTCTCTCAAAAATGAAAAAATAGGACACATGAATTTATATGCATACGTTATACACAAATTATAATCTGATCCAGCTAATTTGACCGCTTTTTTTTCCTTCCGGAAACATTACAGAGGATCAATCTTCCTCCCCGTCTTATTGATTACGGCGTTGTATCGCACTCCAGCCGTACTCGTTCCGCACTCAGATTAGTTGTGCTGATCTTTTTTGCTTCATCCTCGTGAAATCTATGGCAGTGATCGAATGATAACAATGACCCCATGTTTATTTCAGTAATGTCAAAGTATGTTATAAGTTTAACTAGACGCACAATAATGCAAGTAATAACAAATGCAAGAATATGAATGACAGAAGACCAAAAATTCACGATCAGAATCCAAGCTCATCATTTGGAAGCGGATTTATTTTTTTTGCTGCTGGTAAAGAACAAATACAATAATAAAGCTACACAATCTCAACGCTTCATCTTATATCTGCATATGTCATCTATTTGTTAATTAAATATGGATATCGTACTTGAGACCATATGCAAGATATCTCCCCGCACCACTAATGAGAGATATTCTTGATTGTTGTTGTTATCGAATCTGCTACTACACACTTAAATCATATTTCTAGACAAAAAAAAGAAAAACTGCAATGGACTTCTAGCCATCGCGTCAACGCTTTTTTATGCAGGTAATATAGTATATATATGAGTGGCTAAACTGTACTAGTAAAAAAGAGCAAGCAAGAATCCTAGTTGTTATGAAAAGTAAATTAACAAAAGTATTCGCGACTACAAACATGAAGAAGCCACCTTTAATGATTGTACAACCATAACGTCTAGACACAGACTCTGCTACCATACCACATTGTGTCTGACAACAACACTGGCTCGACCATTTGATCCTAAATTCAACTGATGAAACAAGCAAAGCTTTAAAATAAACATTATGAAACTTTCTTGTCCTATCTGTAAATAAATCGTATGTATGTGAGTATAAGGTGAACAGAATTAATTTCGTTTTTTAAAATATCTAGCAGTATTTTGACAGATAACTGATTTTACATTTTACACGCTAAAGATTATTGCTTCGTTTCTCGTCTTCAACTACCCGCAATCTCTTTGCACAATTTTTTTTAATTACTCAATTCATCTGTTTTACATATAGATTTGAGTAACATTTCTTACATGCAATAATAAATATATGAAAAAAGTGAAGTTGAAAGTGGAACAATTATTCAAAATCCCCAAGCTATGCATGAAATCTAATTTAAAACAATAGTTTTACCGCAGTAAATGAAAAACTCGATGGAGGAATCAGTCTTGTGATCCCGCGGAAACAAATTGATCATGAATTTATTTTTATTTTTTATTTTTAATGCCATTATTATTAATGCATTTTTTCCTGGCAAAAATTTACAATGCAGTGAAATAAAAAGATTAGAAATAAAGCTATTGTCAACTTAATTATTATTATCATCCTCCTTTATTATTTCACTTATTTACTACCATTAATATATATTTTTTAGGAAATATTAACTGAACATTTATCGGTAACTCGAATTCGTACACGAATTCCCATTCACTCTGCATATTTTCTCTGTTAATTAGCGCATCTCTTTACTGAGAGATTTTTACATTACATTTTATTTTCCAATCATTGGCATCATTCTGATTTAAATTAAAAATTCAATTATTTTGCTAAATTTCGATTTTGGAGCTGCACCCTCCATTGAACTTTCTCCAAATCGTTGATAAAGATGCGACCAGCAGAATGCGATTACTGCCTCCTAAATTTTCAATTTTTATATTAGTATATTGCTTAAGAAATTTTCACTTTATGCGAAATTTTGCTGAAAGTAAAAATATTTTGTATGGCTTTTAAACGACTAATAATGCTTGTAACTTACTCGATTTTGACTGCAAAAGTCAGATACATTATCACACAGATCAGCTGCATATTGGAAAATACTTGTTTCCGTGTAATTACGGCAAATTAAACCGGCTACTTCCACTAAACATTTTACGAAAAACAGACTGAAATGCAATTAATATTATGAAGACTTGAAATGCAGAAAATGATATTGGAGTTATTTTTATAGAAACACTTTGATTCCAATATTTTTAAAATATTAAATTGCGTAGAATGTTAATGAAGAAACATTAAACTTTGAACTTTTTCAAAATTCTACTGATTCTTCCAACAGTGTTCAGAACATCGCATTTTAACTTAGCGGTATGAAATGTTCAATTTCAAAGAATGATTAACTAGTGCAAATAATAATTATGAGTATTTATAATTTAATTTATTCAATGTCTTCTTGCTTAAAATTGAGTAATATATCCTCATTTTGGACTTATGTTAATCGTTAATTTACAGAAAATTGTGATTACAACACTTTTTAATTTAAATTGATAAACTGATGAAAAGTGATGATGTTGTGGCCGAAAAATGCGTTTTAATGATAATTTTTTCTGTGGCTAAAGTTAAGTAAAAAATTTGACAAAAAAAGAGCAGAAAAAATAAAAGCGCATGAAAAAACTTGCCTTTGGTTTACCCTTTTATCCATCAAAAAAAATTTCACAAAAAGCAAGCTTAAATACAAAAAATATAAGATAATACTTAGTGATAGTTTTGTAAACGAAAGTTGTTTTCTAGACGTGACTTAAAGTAATGAATTTAATTTCAGTTATTTATTTGCAAGCAATTCATTACTCGCAAAGGCCATCAATTTGTGGCCACATGGAAGTGTAAAAATCGCATGCAGCAACTGAAAGTTCACAGCCTTCGTCATTTTCTCTACCGCGGATGAGGTATGCCTTTAAATGGTATAATATGTTAGCTCAAGAGACAAACGAAGTTTTGATCGTATATTAATTCAAAACTGCAATACAGCTTCAGTATTTTAATAAATTTTCCAACTTCATATGTTTCGTTACTTTTATTGAAAATGCCTACTTCAAATATTTTTCTATTACCAGTAGTTTTTATGTGTGTATGAATTTTATCAAAAAACAATAGATAAAAAAACTGAAAAAATTGAAAAAAGGTAGGATTTAAGATGCATAATCTCTAATATTGAAAAATATAATCAAAGACTAAGAAATTGACAATAAAAGCTTCAGCTTATTCGCTTTTTAGCACTCACATCCAAAAAATGCGTTGGAAGTTAAAAATGTGAAAAGTAGTTTCAGATTTTGAATAGTAATATTTTGGAGCTTGTGCCATGAAGTATTACTAGAATTAAATTTTGAATGAATATTTACCATTTGAGAAGCCACCTTGAATGCGGATTGCTCAGGATACGTAGCATCTTCAGCAAATCGAGATCCACCCAACAAAGCATCTGGGAAAAGGAATAATATCAAAGTTTCAAGAACAAAGAGCTAAACAAATTCGAAATGTAGCATTTAGAATCATCACTTAAAACTAGTGAAGTAATTTACTTGAATCATTAAATCAGATCAGAAAGCTATAGTTTTGAGGAAATCACATGAACTAACTGCTTTATTTCTCCTGCATTTCCGATGAATATCAAAAATGCACACCCTTTACCAAATAATTTAAATATAGCATGTTTTTTTTTTCAGTATTAACAAGCCCAAAAAAATTTCAGTGATCCCTTAATGAGATGAATAATTTTAAACTCAAATTTGTAAAATTAGTTATTGTAAGCTTAAAAATGAGGTATTTTGTAGTAAAGTGTTACCTCTGTTAGAAAGTATGCCATATGCATCATCCACTTCTTCGGCTTGATCATGTATAAAAAGTTTTAAATAACTTGGAATTGAATCTTTTTCGTCATTATGGTCACCCTTAGCCAACTCATTGTCTTTATTTTTTTCATTACGTTCGGTAACTGCCCGCATTGTAGTAGTAGGTAGTTTCTCTGTTCCTTCTGCTTTACATTGGAGAGTTTGCAGTATCAGAGTTATATAAACTGAAAGCGATTCACAGTCTGAGCAATGACGTTGAATTTATAATTAGTAAGTACAACAAATAAAGTTCAAACCAAAAAGTGCCATCAAAATAAATATTTAATTTTGATGGCACTTTTTGGTTTTTGAACTTTTTTAATTTTGCAAGTAACAAACCAAGTTAAATAATAAATATAATCATTAATTATAAAATGTGTAAAAATCTAGAAAAAATCTAATGATCAGGGAATCAGCTGATTTATTCTAAAACTTTGTAAACAATAGATTGAGCTTCGTAAGTAATGAAACAAGCCTGCTAGATAAATTAATATTAAAAGTAAAAATTAAGCCTGAAAATAATGAGCATTTATTCATAAGATATACAATTAAAGAAATTACTAATAATTTCATTTCAGTGAAGTGATATAAATTATTTTTTATTACAAAATCTTAACTTGAACTAAGACAAATGATCCTACCAATTACATCAATCTTCTTGATTATAAGCATAATTGTTACAGGTAAGTAATGTTGTGTTGAAAAATTTCTAGTACTTTTAGGTATAATCAAGTTTTGTTAAGAAACAACCAGCTAATGCCACCAAGTAAGTAAAACAATAATTCTTTTAACATTTGAAGATTTTTAAAAAGGAACAAACATTAGTTATAAAGTTATTATTTATGCAAATTCTGTAGTCGAATACTAATGTTTTTTAGAAACAAATGCTTTGTTTCAGCATTAAAAGCACATTTTTGAACTATTGAAAGCTAAAAATCTTTTAAACTAAAAATTTTGTATTGCGATCAAAAAATTTCTCTAATATTTGATTTTTTCCTTTAACACTGTAAAAAATGACTTGATAAAAATCATTTTTTACAGAACTTACTGCTGTTTATATGACTAAAACTGTCATACCATAACAATATTATTTCAAAATTAAAGCTTTAAAGTAATGTCGATATTTTTAGCAATCAGCGCTAAAACGGTTTATTATTTCGTATCAATGGCAGAAATCAAATGCAATTTAGCCACTTAATTTATTGCATGGTTCTCTAATATGCATAATTCTGATTAATCGAGGTAAAAAGCGCAAATGTACGAATTTTACAGTCTTAAGAAGCAATATGACTCTCTCTCGTTGTTATTATTGTACCTAATATTATGTTTGGCAATCGGCATATTAGCATTCGTACTATGATATCAGTGTATTTAAGTGACTCTTGGTAGTTGTCCATTAATCAAGTTAATGCTCAAAAATTAAAAAATAAAGAAAAACGCAAAAGAATTGCCTTGTTATCATTACTATGATTATTATCAAAGGGAAAAGTTATCAAGCACTATAGTTTTGTAAGTGATGTAATTGAAACTATTCGTGTGTATTTATTTATTTTCTGTCGCTTTATTTTTGTAAGTCCGAAAACTTTCCATATTATTTTGCATTGCTGAAAATGCAATAGATTTCAAGATTCTTGCAAATAGTTTTTTCTCCAGAAACCAATGATTTAATTTATGCTGCATTTCTCGTTGCTCGGTGAATGTGAGGATGAAAATGTGAACGATTAAATTCACTTTTGTCGTCAATGTAAGGGAAGCAAATTATGACAAAGAGTGTCAGATGTTATTACTTATCGGAAATAGTACATTCAGGAGATCAGTACATTAGTAGGAATGATAAACATCACTCAATCAGTTTAATCATGTGCTGGTCAGTTTTTGTTTGCAAGAGAATGATCAGTATTTGCTGTTATTTTTTTCATGTTATTCTGGACGAAGCAGGGCGAGAAATAATTTGCACGAAAAGGATAGTGTTCTCAGGTCGTTTCTGCCAATTCATTTTCATCCAATCCAAAAATCGTATAAACAACACTTTGCGAAAATATCACCGCGCATACGTAAAAAAGTTGGCAAAGATGCGTGAATGCCTAAAATTAATTACTTGAGATTAATAACTAGTAAAAATTAATTCCTGTAGTTGGTTTCAAAAAAACAAAAAAGTAGTACATTAACTTTAAATGCATGAGGCTGTGATAATAAAGTAATTAATTTATTGAAAAAAATGAGTGTGATGTATTCTTAATGGTGCGCACGTTAAAATAAGCTGTTTATTGCGGGAAGAAACTAGTTTAAAGATATTTGCTCATTTCTGCTGCAAAACATTTTTTTCAGAGTTGTAGCTCATTTTTCTGCTTATTCTGTATATGCTAGACGAAATAATAGAAAGATATCTTTCAAATTGTATCTATAGAACTGTAAATATTAAAATAAGAAACTGACAAATTCTTTTTGGACGTTGCTGACATAAAGCTGCAAAATAGCAAAGCCAATGAGGCCATAAAGTGCAGTTAAAAGGAGATAAGGTAATGAAAGTTCGATGATTGTTCCCAGAGAAAGATGAAGGATGAACCCTCCTCCAATAGTTAACCAAATCAGTTTTGATCGGTCTTGACCAATCACTGATGACCCTAAGTGAGGAATAATACCAATGGCTACAGGAGTTAAGGCAGCAATTGGTGGAGTACCAATTAGATCTTTATTTGCAAAAATATATCCAGTCAAGAATCCCTAAAATTATTTCGAAAAATCTTTGAACAATTACAAATTTTATAATAGCCAAATTCTAAAAAAAGCATTTAAAAATTTGTAGCAAAGATTAAAACATAACAATATTAATATATTCCGATAAATATACTAAAGAAACATTAGAAAATAAATTATCACTCAAAAAAATGATGCTGTGCCAGCAAGAAATTGTTCGGTAAAAATCTAGAACACGCTGATACGATATTCAAATGCAGTCATTATAAGAATGATAAATGCATTAGAATTGCATTTGTAATAAAATGAATGACCTCAACTGCACCAAAGGTGAATAAAACATGTCGTCGAAGTAAATCATTCTGCAAACTGCTTTCCATCGGCAACTGCAAGAAATAATAAGTAGCTAGTGGGAGGATCACATAAGCCATCAACGCAGCATCTGAAGTCATCAAGAAGAATCCAATCAAAGGAGGAAGAACAATTCCACCAAAGATTGCTCCAAGACTTGAGCCGAGCAGCACAACCGCCATCCAGGCGAACGTGCTCATTAGTTTTGTAGTATCAAGTTCGGGAAGTGCTGTCTGAGTGTCCCGAATGGTTGCGATTATTTCATCGCGATGTTTTTTCAATTTTTCATGAATAGCAACAAAGTGATCAAAAGTTTTCTCCTAAAATACTTGCATTGATTATAAATTTCAGTAAACTTTTTCACTAAAGCAAAGTAAATGAGCAATTCTTTTTGGCACTTGATAATGACTTTTAAAGATCACTCATTAATGCTAAATTTGAACTTCAGTGCAGTCCAGAACTTACGTCAAGATACAATAGCATGGTTCAAATAATTTGGCTTAAAAAATTCATCTACTTTTTAATCATTATTAAGAATACTCAATTTCTTTTTGAATTTACTTTGTTATAAAATGCGTAGTCATGCTGCAATACAGAGTGAATATAATATTATATTATATATAATATTATATTATATTCACTCTGTATTGCAACATGACTATGCAGTTTATTAAATCAATAAACTTAGAAATATCTAAGTTTATTGATTTAATTAACCCTTCATAGCTGTATGATACCAGTTTTCAACATTCATGACATACTGGTTTACATGGAGCTCAGATTAATTGAAGTATCGAATACTTTTTATTATTGCTGCTTAGAGTTTAATTAACTCAAATTTTGATGGATGAAAAAGAGAGCCACCTTTCCAGTAGATTTGCTTAATATAGCCGCCCGTTTTTTCAATTCATAGAAGGTGGTCTCAAATTCACTTTTGTATTGAGATGCCAATTCAATTATAGTGTCCAGTGCACCTGATGACATAGCGACAAATCCCTTGACAGAACCACAACTAACAGTCTTGGCTAGTAGCAATAAATAAAAATGAATGTTTCAAGAACTTCCCATATTTTATATCACATTGCATTATGCAAAAATAACAGCTGATTACAGATAAACATTTTGAGATGACGAACAAAAATTTGCGTAATAATGACTTAATTATGCAAGCTTTTTTGCTTACATATCGTTACTTTAGTCCACTGAAATTATTGCCAAAAATTTATCAACAGCATACAGTGCTGTTTTGTTTTAAATTTGAAAAAATGTTACTAGAAAGCCATCAAATTACTAAGAAAAACTGTTAGGAAAGTTTAGAATCATCCTTCATGTAAAGGTATGTACTGCTTGTAATGGTCTACTGTTCTCAAAAATTTGAGAGGAGCACAACAAAAAATTGACCATAATCAACAAACTTTAAAGCATCACTCAGACATATTAGCAGTCAAATGCAGGTCTTTAATTACTTACTTAGATAACAAAAATAGTTGGAGTAAGTTATAAAGAATAAAATTAAAGGTTAAATGAAATTTCTAACATTGCAGACACAAGGCTTGTTATGAATTTCAAACTTTGTTGATTCGTACATCGATTATAAAAATAGAAATGAAAAACTTCTTCATGCTTGTTCTTATTGGCACTTTTAAAATACACATTTTATTAACAAGTTATCAAAGATGTTGTAAAGTGTCAAAGAAAAACTCTAATTATAATATAAAAAACTAAACTGAAATACAACAATGTTAGATTTCAATAAAAAGAAGCAAATTATAGGCAAATTTAGCTTCTTAAAATACTAAAATTTTCCTTCATCTCTCAATTTCATTTTGATAACAGCTAATTGATTTGACTTGTTTCTTTATAAGCTATCAATTATTGACGCACAAGATACAATATTATTTTGGCACAAACAGTATTAATTTCAACTAAACTAAAAACATCTGATAAAAATATAAGAAAACCATTTCTTATGAGTATACATATTCAATTTTAAATTTTATCAATGCAAATGTGGTCCAAGTATCCAAAATATTTATAAGAAAATAGCAAAAACCATCTCACAAATTATTTTCTTAACAGATTCACTGACTATAAAATGATTGCATTCCATACTTACAATTTTGTGATATTTTTAAAAAGTATTTACTTACAAAGGATCCCTTACTTTTTTGGTGCCAATAACTTGTTTTAATTTTTATAAGAATTATTATTTGTTCATTTTTTCACAAGCGCAGTCAAATATTGCACCCTTTTTTCATTTTTTATGCATATATAAATACAGCGTTTTCGCTCCAATTATTTTCAATTCTCAATAGATCTTTTAGGTGAAAAAGAATTAGGAAGACGACACCATCCTTTTAAAGGATGTAAATAGCACAATCTACGGATTATTTTCAAATACAATCAGTGGTTATTAAAGAAGTATTCTGCGATGAATTGCCTGATGTTTTTGCTGACTATGCTTTTAGGCATTATATTTTACAAAATATCTGCAAGGAGCACAAACAGAGGTAGGATATGATATACACTTGATTTTGCAATGCATGCCAAGCTTTAAATTTTCAAAAATATTAGCCAAAAGAAGTATACATTATAGATTGAAGTGCAATCCATTATGTAATGCAGTAAGTACTAAGGTCAGAATTATATTTATTTGAAATATCTCTACTTGCTGTGCAATAAAAAAATGCACAGCTAGCTGTAAATAGCATAATAACGGTATAACACTTTCAGAGATTATGTAGCATTGTAATCGTATGCAGCAAAAATAAAACATTTAAGATGAGTTGATCTGGATCTAAAATACTTTAACGGAATATTTGATCATGTGTATAGATATTGTCTGAGTAAATGATAGAAATATTACTGCGAAAGAATTGGTAGAACAAAGTATTAGAATTTTCTCTATTCAGATCTCTTCATCTGCAATACAGTATGCTGCAAAAGTAATTTTTAATCACAGCTGCCTTTCAAAATGCTACTAAATAAATGTGTTATTAATTATGAAATTGAAGCTAAGTTCCTATTTTCTTGCCCGAATCTACTGAAAAATTTGTGTCTTCTTTTTCTTTTCCACATTTATTTTATGATTACGTCAAATTTCAAAGAACTCTTCTGGAAATGTTTACTCCAAAGACAATTCAATAATGGTAGACAAAGCTAAGGATAAGTGATATTAAGTAATTACACGTTTTCGTAGCCTTTTCCAAATTGTGTCATGCTTCAAGAAGAGTAGCCACACAAATAATTTGATCCAGAATCTTCACGTACTTTGCCACTTCAATTATTTAGGAACAAGAAAACTACAAAATTAAAACTGATAGTTTTCAAAGTTCACAATATTTCAGATATAACGAAAGCACCTTCGAAAATTCCACATATCCATCAAATAACAGAAATTAATCTATTAGAAACTACTGCCAGTTTACACCGTCATATTAAATTAAAGGTTTGTTTCAAAGTTCAAACATTTTTGGCTAGGTCTCTTCATGAATATGTTGAATTCTATTTTAAATGAATGATTTGCAGGACAACTTAGCTAAAGATGAGAAAAATAACAAAAAATACGAACAACCGAAGAAGTTTGCGAAAGCAAAGCAAACAATGAGACCAATAATTAAATTACGGAATCGAAATTTTCAACTAGAAAATGAATTCGATCAGCAAATTTTCCCTTCTCAACAGTGGCATTCCAAAAACAGCTCAATTTTGACATCAAACAAGTCTGGATGGCAATATTCAGGAATTCTGAGTACTTTGCAAGGAAATGTGAAAAGCAGACATCTAAAAAATAAAATAAATATTTTAGGCTTGAAAAAAGTTAAGGAGCAGGAAACCGTAAGTGTGCTAAATAAGAAAAAGGAATGGTTGGAAGATTTGAACGATTATTTCAAATTTTGGAATTTAAGTGAGAATTCATCTGATGCGATGGCCATCAATCCTCTCGATATTTCACGAATTTTAACAAGTAATAAAATATGTTCACTACTTGAAAATTCTACGTTATGCTGTGAAGAAATAATCAAAAAGACACTTAATTTTACAAATATCGATGAAAAGCAGCTCAAAACTTTGGAAAAGCAATCAAAATGTCGCAAATTTTGTACTGATTTTGATTTGGAAACTGGATACTTAAATAATCTCACGGAAAATTTTTGCTCAGAAAATAGTGCAGCATCTGCTTTTTTGTCTGTGAATAAATCTCAAGTTATTATTTTTAAAAAAACAACTGAAAGGAATACTGAACCACATAGGAATTCGAGTTTTTTTGAATTTGAACTTAGGCTTGAGCATACAATTCAGAGTTTAAGCAAAGCATTGAATACGAAAGCACTACAAAAGCAAACTAATGGGAATGCCTCTCTATATTATCTGATCGAATTTTCCAAAGTTATTGAGATTGAAGCCGAACAACGCTTAGCTATGCAGCTTCTGCAAAATTATCAACATCAGTATATTAGAAAAACTTTCAGCAATTTAATTCAGGTTTGTTTAATAATTTGGAAAAAGTCTCAAATAAGTTGCATGGAACGTTATTACTATAGCTGGTGTCTTAAGAATGAATCAAAGGGATGCACAGATCATGTCTTGAAATCCATTTCTTGCTATAATTTTACGATTGAGAACTTCGAAATTACAAAAAGTACTGAAGTGCTTTGTAAAACACTAAATGAATCTGATTTTATTGGGAATTCTTTTCGCAAAATTAATAGGAATTTAAAAGGCATCTTAATGTTACAATTTGTAAGCACAAATATGCTTCAAAATATCTCTAAATTGAACGAATATCCAAATGGAAAATTTTCTGAGAAATGGCAGAAATATGCTAATAGAATCAAGTTAAAAAGCGTAGGAAGAACTGGCAGGGTAGAAACAAACGAAGATGAAGCATCAATTTTGCAAGACTTTAATGTGGGAAAATTAGTGAGATTATCAGAAACACAAGCAATACCTGTGAATCAGTCGAGTTTTATTTTGCAAGAAGAATCGAGAGAAATTGATAGGAAGCAGTTGACTAATTTCTTCACAACACTTACACCCAGTAATGAAGTGGAATCAAAAAACTTGAAGATTTCTGATGGAACTTCAATTGATTTCAACTATGCAAATAATTCTTTTGCTATGAATGCAGGTAATGCAACTGATGAAAAGGACGTTCATGAAAGCAGTGGTTAGTTTCTTGATTACTTATAAAATAAATAAAAGTTTCTTAATCCAGCAGATTCTTCCTTAACAACAAAATTATGGAAGTTCCATAAGTAACACTCAATATAATTTATATTTATTGAATAATCAATCATTTCACTCTTTATACGTATATTTCGTGCTGAAAAAGTAGGATCAAAAATACTTCAAAAAAAGTCATATCAAATTAAGACCAAAGCCTAACTTCCTATCAATAAATGAAATCTTACAAACGCTGGAAAATCTCAGTAGATATTGAATTAGTCCAGTTAATCTTATAGCTGGTATGATATCCCTGTGTATCGAAAATGCCAGTTATAAACAAATAACCTTGAACTGCACATGACTAATTACTTTTATTGAATATAGTTAGATGGTCAAATAACTTATAAAATCATCCAAAAAAACTCCATTGATGTTACTCATTTATTTTTTCAAAAATATTGTAACTCAATTTCAGACTCTTTAAGGAAGTATACTCTGACTCTGACTAATAACTATGTGCTAAGTGAACTAAAACTGAAGAACAAGCCAGAATGTAAGTTATTTAAATAAGTATGAAATCAACCACACACTATTCCTTAACTACTAGTAATAACAGTGTTTATCTACAATAGTGATTGTCAATGCAGTCATCGATGAATGAGTAGAATCATGCGACCGCATACTTGTAAGTTTAACTAAGTCTCCATTACTACGTGAAAATAAATCAGCTACTTTACAGTATCCCAGCACTAATAATCTAAATTTATTTGATGGCATAATTTAATGCACTTTTCCAGGGAAGCCATTTCATTTCGATTGCAAAACGGAAGAAAATGAATTCAATACCACAAGCTGCAATGACTGGGCAGCTGCAGGATACTGTGAATCAAATAAAGCTACTAGATTCCTGTGGTGTCGCAAGACGTGTCTCTGCACAGGGCCATCTCAGTCCTGAGTATTTTTTTATCACATTTACATCTATTAATACTATTAATGTATGTAAAAAGTACTCTCTGCAACATAAGAGTGCATTGTATACATCAGATAATAAACTAACACTTTCCTCATTGGCAGTAATAACGACAGTACTCCTCAACCCTACAAAAATTTTCTTTTCGGAATCAAAATCAATTAAAGATTTTATTTCCTTCATTAGGAGAAGGTAATGAAGATGACAGCTGGTGACTGGTGAATTGGTAAATACTATACGTGAGACACATAAGACCTTTCTAATAAAAGTTCTTTTGAATTCAGGGACATTATAAACTATATTATAGTAATTATTGACCTTAATCATAACCAAGGAAAAGAGAGTAAAATTTGTGGCTATAAGAACTCCTTCTTACTTTACTAAGACCAACAATACAGTAACTCCTGCAAGTCATTTTTAAAACGGAAAGTTCTTTCAGTATTATGATATAAACAGTTCAATATCATAATAGCCCAGGCTTTGCGGATAAAAGCGTTTTAGTGTTCCTACATTAATTTATTAATAAATAAGATGATGACAGATGCAATACCAAACTTATACATGACCCCATTCTTTAACACATTACTTCTGTCATAAAATAACATATAAAGTATTCCTAGCTCTGATCTTAAAAGTTCCATTACTTGAAATTCGTACTTATACGCTAAGCAGTTTAATTTCACTTACAGTAACAAGATGAAAAGTTACCAATCTCTGTTAAAAACAAGAATTTATTCAAGATATAAATCTCCAAGCAAGAACAAACAACAAAAGTCCACTACACTCGAATTACGGAAAGTGATTAACTCAAATTTAAAACAAAAATTGACAGTTGAAAACAAATTCATTTTAATTATTCGGACCAGGCCTATTATTTCCACCTTCATTTTCACTTCCATCTTCATACTCAATTCCACTTTCTAGACTCTCTTCACTGCTAGTAACAAAATCGTCGGGTAATCGAAAGCCATAAAAATAACAGTCGATCATATAATAGCATTTTTGTTTAGCTTTACAATTGACATATTTTATGAATGGATAAATCCCTGGTTCAATAAGTACTAAAGCTGCATGATTGTTGGCCGGAACAAATCGAGTTACCTAGAATAATCAAACTCAAAACCTTCTATGCGTAGTTTTTGTAGCACTGATCATACACAGCAAATTCATCACTAAACAGATTATATAATTAGAAATAAACAATTTACAAATATAAAAGGATGTCCTAACAGTTTTCCAGCGAAAACGCTAATAGTTTTGTTACTGCAATAAAAATTATAAGATTCTCAGTATAGTGAAAAAAATTCACAATATCTAAATGTTATAAGAACTACAAAAACAAACCTCATCTTCCAGCTCCTTTGCAATGTAACTTATGAAACCACCATGTTCTTCATTCCATTCATTCGCACACAAAATGAGCTGAAAAGTTCAACATCATTCCATAAAAAATAAATTATGATCATTTTTTTAACATTACCTCGAGTTGCAATAGGTTTATTCATTTTCATCAAAAATTGAAGGACAGAAAAACATTCTTAAAATTAAAGAATACACGAGAAGCGTTTTTAACAAAAAATTACCTTGAAATTCAAGCCATAACCAAGTTGTTCCATCTCATCAATTACCTGATCATCAACCATTGTATAATAACCTTCGCAAATACGATATACTAATGTATTACATCTTATACCTAGAATATTTTTCCATAGAAATCAGATGAACCATATGGTACTTTTAAAAGTGCATCGAACACTTTCATTCTTTGAGACAATGTTTATAGCTAGATCAATATAGGTTCAAACTTTGTGACATTCGAAAACAAATAAATGAAGAATGAAAATTTTTTTGTAAGAACTAAATGGAATACCTTGCTCAGTGGTGACTTCATTTTCGATGGGATACAGAGGTAAACCAGTCCACTGTGAAATCAGTAAAGCCATTGCTTGAGACTGCATTAGACGCAATAGACAAGACAGACTGCTATCCTTAGGTAAAACAGTTTCTTGTAATATTTCCAATTTTCTGAACAAATAAAATTAATACAAATATTTCCAAACATTTATAAATTCCATAAGTCTACAGTTTTTAAATACAGATCAGATTTAGAGTTCATTAATCTGTAACTGCACAAATTTGTTACTTTTTATTCACAGGTCCAACTATTTTAAAGTCCGCATTATCCAGTTCGTGTAACAATGATCCCAACTTATTCTCCTAAATAATAGAATTCTTCAACTAACAGTGAAATAATAACTAACTGTGAAAAAATATTAAACAAGAGTTTTTCTTCAGCGATATCCAAAGAAATCACAATATTTTGCTGAAATGACACGTTGAAGTTGTTTAAAAGCAAATTTATGCTAAATTTTTTATGCCCACGTAAGTGAAAAATGAACTTACAGAGATAAAACCTGCCAAACTGATTTCTGAATTACTTTTAAAGAAAGAGCGAATATCCTGCTGCTGATTAGGAGCTATGTAATCTTCATTAATCCATTCCAACACTTCATTATACTGAAATCCGTTTCAATCTTGCATCATAAAAATAAACCCTTAAAACATGATTAATTACATACCGTAATATCCAAATGCGGTTTCACCAATTTTTCAATATGGTCAAGATTAAAATGACTGGCATCATCATTCACGTCGTGGTGAAACCAACCATGTAATGAAAGGCGTTCTTGTTGACATCGAACCTGAAACACGTCAATATCTATAATCGTATGGGCAAACGTAAAGACAAAACAATAGTACTGGAAAACGACTGCATCTTGGAAAAAATGAGCATATAAAAGAATAGCTTGAGAAAAATGACACAAGAAAAACTGAAAAAAGTAATGAGGCATTGCTGATTGCACAAAGAAATAAAATCATTTCAATGATCCACCAAAAAATAAATATCATTATAAATACCTCTGTAACCATATGCCATGAACGTGGTGACACTTCGAAAATGGTCAACATATTTTCTGCTGGAGTCACGATCCGACCAACTGATGTTGGATTGCTTTTATCTGAACACAATAAATTATCAACAAAGGATAATTGATCGTTACGTTTACAAGTAAATCAAGATGTTTTTAATATTTTCTTTGTGAGGAAATATTTCTGATAAGATACGACACGGCCAAGTAAAGAAACTTCTGACAATAATTTCCGTTTGGTGAAATATAAAATTATATAACTGTAAAAAGATGGGGAATGCGCAAATGGAAATGCACAAAACATATAAGTTCCATATTTTAACTGCTGGCGCTAGCCTATTTTGATCCTTTCAAAGGAATATAAGAGCTCACTAGGAATTAACAAAAATTTACAAAGCTTTTAAGTCGAAGAGTTAAAATAATATAAGAATCTTACCATTTGAATTAAACAATACCAACTGCCCACCATCAGTTTCTTTCCAATTTGGTGTCAAATAAAATATAAAGGCAAATTTGCGTTTTTCACATCGATCATCATGTGGCAAAAGTAAATCAGTATAACAATATTTACTGCTAGTTATAGCAACATCATCAGTTAAATTCACACTCGAGATATTTCGTAACCACTGCAAGACATCAGTGCAGAACAGTTCTCTAAAATTACTTCTGAAAGCTATGTACATGATAGATACGAAAAACTGATGGTCTCTTTACTTCCAACGATTTTATGTGTAACAAAATTTTCAAAAAAAATAGCATGAGAAATGAAATTTCGAGTAGAATTAATTTCTGGATATGAAACATTGTGTTCCCTTCCATGTGTCAAATACGAGAGAAAATTAGCATTAGAATAAAAAATTAATGAATTTAAATGACTAAATATTTCTCCCAACGAATCAGTTCTACGTAACAAGAATTTATTAATATATACAATATAAAATTTTTGAACTGTGCAATTTTTTTCATCCTTTTGCGGTTATAATTCAGATTAGTGTGTAAATCTTATATGAATTTGGCAACTAAACTTGGTAGAACACATATGATCAGTATTTTACCTGAAGCGTGTTAACAATGGAAATTTGTCTCGATCAAAGTTTTTTAGATCATCTGTTTGATACAACGAAAAAAGGTCATTCTCTCTACGATTATATTGAACTTGTTCCAATTCTTGCCGTAAATTAGTGACAAATTGTTGATTAGTGAGAAAATTAGGTAATGAAAAATATGGAAAAGGATCAGAAAACTGACTTTGACCTGAAAAAGTTGCAAATTTAGTACCTTATTTCCTAATATGAAGATAAAGTAAGAGAATGGAAAAAAACAAATTTGAGAAGATATTAACAAAAGGTTACAGTCGAGTTAGTCTGTACTCTCAAGTCAAAGATTATGCACAAAAAAGAAAAAAAACGCCTTCAGTACATGCATGAGAAATAAAATAACTGGAATATGCATATAAAAGATAAACACGAGAAAATAATAGACGAAATTAACTAGAGGTGTCTCTATCATAAGTAAAAGGAAAGAAAAAACTCACCCAACAAAGTTTCTTTAAATAAAGCAGCATAATGAGGATTCTGATAAACTGGATTGATCAATACGGAAGTACTGTTATCTTCACTCATTGTTACTCAAAAGCAGTAATACCCAAGCAAAGTAACAAACAACAGTAAAAATAATTAAACCAAATCTGACCTCTCAATCACGTTGATGGGTTGATGGAAAAAAATGCATTCAACCCAATTCTATATGTACTGTCATTATTTTACTATTTTCATAAGAGAGCATTGCTACTGAGAGAGCACCAAAGATGGCTGGAATGTCGAGATAGATAATGCAGAGATAAAAAGAAATTCTCAAGCAAAATTTGAAAAGAGAGGAGCAAGAGAAGGTTCGATGGAAAGTTTGTGTGAATAATTGCAAAATTAGCAAGTGTTAAGTAGGTACTATCAAGGAGTAGTGCTGATTTAGAAGTGAGCGAAGCAAGAAAGGGGAGATGAAGAAATAAAGCTTCATATTCTTGACATTCATGCTATCGGTCAGGAATCAGTAGTAAAAAAGCAGCATTTGAGAAGTTTATGTCTTCACTCGCACCGTTAATTATTGAATCCGAAATACTCTTTTGCCAATTAGCGATATTAGTAAAATGGACTACCTGATGTGATCTAATTTACATTGTAAGCAAGCATAACAATTTGTGATTCTTCGTTCTCTACTCCTTTCAGTTATTATCTATCTCAAATTCTATACTTTGCATGCTCTTTTCTGCATACTCTCACTCACTACCTATATAAAAGTTTTTAAGCAATGTTTTAATGAAAAATGATTACATATCAGTAAACAATTTGTTGGCATACTGGACCGTCTCCATTCTATCCCATTTTCAATTATTTGTAGGATTCATTCATCTGCTCTCTACTTAGAGTAGCTGAATTATATAGGTGGCGTGTATTTATTTATTTGTGACGAAACATTTTTTGGTTATTTATTACCTAAATATTTGCTTTCTCGTAACAGCCACGGCTAAATTATCGTCAACAATTTTATAACCAATTCATTGGCCCACAAAATTGTTATATTTCAGAAAGTAAAATCAGCAAACTGTCATTATTATGTTTGCATGTGACTACCAGCATAACTCATGCATCCTGCCAATGTTGCCTTCGTCATCCGTATCGCACAATTTTTCTTATTATTATCATTAGTGTCATTGCCATATGTAACCTCTGATGAGAATTATTGACCTTATTTATTATTTTCAATCATTAGTTTTGCAAATCGTTTAAACCGATAGTTATGATTATTATTGGTAATGACGGTAATAACTGCTCTCATCATTTGTTACTTTTATAAATATTAATAATATTGCGTCAAGAAGCTTGTAGTTTCACTGGAAATGTCAGAAATTAATTTATAGAATAAACTGAAAAAAAATTCCTTAACCAGTAACCTAATATCATAGTTAGTTCTTTTAGAGTAGAGAAAATATTTATTTTGTACTACTCGGAATGCTAATTTCTGCTATTAATGGAGTTAATTATTTACTGTTTATTTTTGATTTGATTGATACTTGTGACTAACTCTGAAGGTATATATTTTTATTTTTTCCCCTCCCTCCTCTCCGAAACTTTCGTTTTCTTAGCAAAATACGTAATCTTTCATTAAACAGTGACTTATTTCTCTTCTTTTTTTTAAATTAATAAATTGTTATAGTGGACAAAATAAGAGAAAATCAGCAATATTAATGAGAATATTATTTTGAAATGCTAATTATTGTTTATTATTGAAATTTTTTTCATTACACTCAGTAATAATAATTGTGATAATGATCATGGAACATAATTATTATTCTTAAATGTTACTATTATCGTTCCAGTTATTATTATGAATTATTAATTAGTAATTTTTATTAATTAATACTGTTGTTGTTACTTATTACCACTATTATCATTATCATCACATAACAAATTATTTCATTTTATTTTCCATTGCTTCCCTCATTAGTTACTGATAAAGATATTAACGTTGGTTATCAGTAGGTATAACATGGTTGTCATGCCAACACTAATTCATTCAGTTCATTTTTTCATCGATGTAAACAGGCACATTGAAAGATATGTTCAAGTTAATATGTTATGGCTGCATTTGACCATTCCTTATCATTTATTAATATCAAATTGAAATTACGTGTCTTTCATGTGATTTTTGTCAAGAACAGCACAATGTCCACATTTTAACAAATTCGTGTTCTTTTTTCCGGTTCTTTCTTTTCCATTTCAAAGGAATGATCACGTGAGTTGAAATTTTTACAGTCACTCTAAGTGAAATTCATTTCATTGGCTTCACCCTTTTTTTACTTTTGTTATAGTAATGTAAGCTGAGATTTACTTTTACTCACAGCAAGCTAAAGTAAATGATATAAATGATTTTCAGTTTAATTATTACTCTGTTTGTGTCTGTAAAGCTGTGAAGTATAATTAATTAAGCATTCGTGAATAATGAAAGTAATGAGAAACTGAATAAGATTCTAAGCTTTTCTGTTTTTTGCTTTTTTTCTTTTTGCTGATTTTACACCATTTGCTTGTTAAGCAACGAAAGTGGTCTTTTCTAGCTTCAAATTTCAAGTATTGCATGTTCTAAGTCAGCGCTGCAAAAAATGTCGTATAATCAAATGTTTTCTAACTTATGATACTTGCATACAAAAAGTGAACAAAGCAGTGTTGAGAATGATTATTAAAGAGAAATTGCTTGCCATTTAGACAAATTGCCAATGTCACGCAGTCAGATAATAGCAAAAATTTGGAGTGTGCTTGTGTGCAAACTTTTTAGTTGCATTTGTGCTGAGCAGTTATTAATTACAGCGTGTTGAAACATTGAAATATGTAAAGAAAATATTGTGCTGACTATAAAAATGGCAAAATTTTTTGTTGTCTATTTACTCAATTAATTCAATTTAATTAATTAATTGTAGTCAATTTTCGATCAGCTTACATAGCACTTCTACTATTACAATGCAGTTAGCGCTCATTGTTTTTAACCCAAACTTCTTTGTCTTTTTGTTATAGTAACTACGAATGTCTTGTTTTCATTCACAAATTACATTCATATGTTAATTTTTTCCAGTTCAATTTCAGTTGCTTTTTCACTATTATAATGCTATACATGCAAGTAAAAAATGTCAAAAAATGTGATTTTTCGTTTGGATCGATAGCTATAAATACCTATCAATTCTAAAGTTTTAAATAAATACCTATAAATTCTAAAGTTTTAAATAAATCTTATACTAGGTCATTACTAATTAACTGTTCCTATTAAAGTAGCAAAGGCAGACTTTTAATTAAATTATATTATGTTATGTGGAATTGCAAGTTTGTTTGGAACTTAAGAAGTTATTCCAACCTTCGTATTCCCAACATCTTATTGCAGTTGCGTCTTTCACTTGCTATTTATGTAATTTTTCGTCTTTTGTTTATGATTAATTGAAAGTTAGTTTTCTGAATCATTTCCATCTTTTATGTAACAATTAACAACGTAACTTGAAGGATAGTTCACATTGAACTTTCATTCTTGTACAAGACAACAAGTTTTTATCAAATTGAGTTTATTTGCTCGTAAACATCATTGGGGATGCTGTGTAATAAGTGTATCAACAGGTTTTATTGAGTTTTTACAAATTTTTGTGATAAATGAAATCGTCTTTGCGTTTACACTTCGAAAGACAATGAAAAACATTGAGATAAGTCTAATTAAATAAGCATATTTCTGTCACTGGTCCTAAATTGTTGCTATGGTCTGTTAATCTATTAAAGTATGCAAGGAACCCGACAGATTTTAGACGCTAAAAATGGCAAAAGTTTTTTGTGAAAATTAGTATAAGTCAAGTACGAATTCATCAGTTTATCAGTTATCTGCATAATAATTTGAGGAATGATTTTATGAGCAGCTTTATAACGATGGAAATGCATAATTTTTCTTTTTCACAACATGGACACTTAAAAATTTGTTGTTACAACAAATATTAAAAATTGGTTGATTTCAAAAATTTGTGACTAATTCTTGTTTCATAGTATTTGTTGATATTACTAATAATTAGCAAATTTAAATATGCATTTAAATACGTTAATCTTTGGTTCAATAAACGCACGATGGATGGATGAGCTTTTATTATCTGGAATACAGAAAATGTTGCAGTCGCTACATAGCTATGTATTTTAATTAGACCAAAATTGAATATAATGTAATCCGAAAATGAGGGCAGTTGGGTTGAATAAATGTAGTATTCAAGAAGGATGGATGGAAAAATTTGGTTTTTTCTTGAATCCACCAATTTCCATTTTACAACTTTCAGTAATCAGTTTCTTATCAGTCTTTTATCACAATCACCATTGTTCATTTTGAGTATACATTAATACAGTACGAAATATGGAGGAAAAGTAGTCGATTTTAATTTTGTATTGTGCATCAGAACGATGATGATTATGGAATTAGATAAACAGCAATTATTGAATTTGCCCATAAATAGCAATAATTTTTCAACAGCTCTTTGATACATTTTCATTTATTCATTTTAATGAATTAATGCTTTGGTGGTTTCCGGCAAATAATAAACCATTATTTATCGTCCATTTTATAAGTTTCTTTTATCAACTTTTTTACATGAAATGATGAAGGAAAAACCAAAATTTTTTGCTGTGTTATCGCCAATGTTTTTCCACGAAGTGACTTTGTATTCTTTCCTTTTGTGTTATTTGCATTTGTCATCGACATATCTTTCGCCTCTCGTTTCGGTTTTATTTTAAACTTTAATCGGATAGAAATAATTTATTTATGACCTGAGAACTGAATTTAAAAATAAAGTACTGCTAATCAATTTTAAAGATTATTTCATCTTATGTCGAAATTTGCTTGGGATAAGTCATGTTCTTTAATTAGGTTTAAAGTAGTGTGGGTTCTTTCAGGCTGGTCTATCATTGCTAATACAAGATGAATCTCTATTATCGCTATTTGCATTTGGCGATATTTGTAATGATGACTAAAATGGTAACGAGCATTTATCTTCATGTAAAACCTCGAGAAATTGTGCTTACTGTTGGGGAGGATAAAAATGTTACTTTCTTTGTCACGTAAGTTCAACTTTTTATCTTTAAGTTGTTCTAAAATTTTGCTTAAGGTAACTTATGTATAATTCTATCATTTACAATTTCGCTCATTTAAATTCTTTTCCGATTTTATTTCGTATAAGATATAAATTATGCATAGTGTATTTCCTGTTAGTTCTCAACCTATTTTCAGGGAGACTTTACCATTACCAGTTACTTTAACATTGCGAAAAAGTGACCTGTTTGATGGTACTCCACATGTTTTTGAGCTGAATAATGATAAAAGATCAGCAAATATTGTTTTAACAGGTATACGTATCACGAGTTATGCTATAATTGAAATCGAAAAGTGTATTTCTGCAAATGCCAGCGGCAATTTTACTAACTGTCCATTCAGGTGAGCATTATTGCACTAGTAATCGATGTTTATATTTTTTAACCATAAAGTCTATCATTTTTAAAGATTATTAACAGCTTTTTAGTTATAATTTTTAGTATTCGAATCATAAATAACATTTAGAGATCTGGAATTTGCGTTCGCAACAGTGAAAGTGGTGCACAGTAATTTTTTATCAGTCGCTATAATTATTGTTGGTTGGATATATTTTTTAGCTTGGAGTATTTCATTTTATCCGCAGATAGTGCTTAATTTTACTAGAAGAAGGCAAGATTGTATTTCAAAAAATAATTGTTAACTTGAAATCTGAAATTCAATTTTAAAAATTCGAGCATCCAATTCTGATAGAGAAGTATATATTTCATCTCATATCAAATACTGTCTTCAATATTTAATTGTTTTGCTATTCAAGTTTAAATTTCTGGTTCTTCAATTTCCATTTTATTTACATTAGTTTTTCAGTCTCTAAACTGTAGCTTTTTCCTGTGCATATTGTAAGAGTGCAGAAAATCACTGAAACAGTTTGCAGCGAATTGAATTCTGAATAAATAAAACTTGTTTCAGTGTAGTAGGATTGAATTTCGACTTTCTGCTTCTGAATATTGTCGGTTTTACATGCTATACATTCTATAATGTTTTTATGTACTTCGATTCGTACGTACAGGTATGAAAAGTTCGATACATTTCTCGTTTTAGGATCTTAAAGAATAAATATTTAATATTACTCAATGAGACGTTAAAGGCCCCTCATTCGGACAAATTTTAAGTTCAGTTTGCGCTACTGGAATTATGTCTTTGATACGAGGTTACTATATTTTTTGATTAATTTATGTAAAAAATGAAAATAATATTGCAAATAGTCAATATCCGCACCAAAATTTACATAATTTTTTATGGCCAAGTAGACTTGATAGAGGAATTGTTATTGAATCAGATTGAATATCCTTTAATTCATTTAGTATTACTTAGTATTACTGAATGAATTAAAGGATATTCAATCTGATTTAATAACAATTCCTCTATCAAAGCTATTTGGTTTGAATTCGGTACTCGGAAATGTTTTCAAGTAATCAAGTAATTACAGTGGTTTGAAATAAGAAACTTTGTAAGGGCAAATCAACTAAATTGTAATCATGCAAGTTCGGGAAGTTATGAATCAAGGATGTTTATTTGAAAATGAGCAAAAGGATACTTGCACAATGCTGCGAAGTGTGTAATAAATTATTAATTAAAGAAAGTATTTTTATATCCACTAGAATTTTGAGATATGAGTGTGTTTCCGTGTTTTGAGCCGTGTTCTTTCTGCAAGGATGCTATATTGTCTATTGATTCCACTCGAATACTGTAGTTGCTATTTAGCTGTGATTGTGATTTGAGATCTATCATATACATCTATGATTCCTCGTGATTAAGATATTTATAAGAGCCATTTTTGGTTGATATATATCAAGTCTTGATATTTTTGCCTTTTCAATTTTTTATTTCCAGGAAATATACGAGCGTGAGCATCCCCACAGCTTAATTCCAGTCTTATTAAATGATGTAGTGTTTGCGCTTCATGCACTTCTAGCCTGTTTAGTTACAGCGTTGCAATGTTACTTTTATACTGTTAGTTAATTATTTTAGTTTCTGGAAGTGATAGAAAAAACATAGTAGTGAATGAAAGATGGTAAATAAATATACGTCAAAGATAGCTTTAAATATATATTTATAGCTGACAAAAAATATTTGGTTCACTGCGTTTAACTGTTAAACAAATTGGATTCGTAGTATTGAAAATAATATTTTCAGCGTGGCAATCAGCGTATTTCTTACACGTGTTGGGTTCTTACAGCGGTATTTGCATTAATTGCCGTAACTACATTATCAATGGCTGTGATTGGGTGGATGAATATTTTGCAATTCATCGTAGGCCTTTCATACATTAAAATGGCTGTCACTTTGTGTAAATATTTCCCACAGGTAAACAAAAAAATTAAACATTATTCAAGTATTCATGTGAGGAAAATTTATAATTGAAGCATTTTTCAAGTAAATACATTAAAACACAAGTTCTTATATATGTATAGTGAAAGGATTCCTTAAAAAAATCTTCGCTTCTTGGAGATAATTTATTGTATATAAATCACACTGCATGCGTTATTTGCTTCTTTTTGAAGGCTTATATGAATTTTCGGCGAAAAAGTACTATTGGGTGGTCAATTGGGAATGTCTTATTGGACTGTTTGGGTGGAGTTATGGATATTATACAGATGGTTTTACAGGGTGCCAATACGGGTGAGAATTTCGCTGATTCGAATTTTTATCATTTGGTGATGGTAGCTTCTACTACTTTTGTCGTATAATTTTTTTTGTGCGATTTTTATTTAAAAAAATGTAATAAATGCTATTCTTTTGATTTGCAAAATGTGTTGAAAAAATCATGGCACTATTCATGCTCCTTCCAACAAAATTAAGAACTATATATGTGTATATGATTTTTGAAGGAATTTATAAGAATTTAACATTTAAATTTTTATGATTATTATTCACATGCTCCTTCCAACGAAATTCGTAAGCCGTGGGTTATGTTTGCAATTTGTAGGCAGTTTCTGATGTTGAAATTTTAGATGACTGGTCAATATTTTATGGAAATCCCGTCAAATTTGGTCTTGGATTGGTATCAATGATATTTGATGTTCTCTTCATGGTGCAACACTATTGTTTATATCGCAATGCTGATGGTGGCCCACCACTGCGAACTTCTGAAGGTGGCACTACAGAAGAAATGGATTTTTCAGATTCGAACGTAGCGAGTTTACCGGAGGTTATAAGTGTTAGCAATGCGTAAATTAAAGCTAGAATATTTCCAGCTTCGAATTCTCAAATATTAGGGACTTTGTCCACATTTGTTTCAGTTTTGTGATATAGATCAGATGATCAGAATGTACCCCGGTTACTGGTTTGTAGATATTTTATCAGTTCTAAATATTAGCTTTTGATTTCTTATGGTAGTAACTTAATGCCAGGTATATTTATGACATTCTTATGGGAATACTTTGATTTCAAAAACGCTTATTTACGATTCCTCTATATCTTTCAGTGAAAGTTTTATATAGTTTAATAACATTCTTTGTAATTGTTGCCGATTCTTTAGATTTGGAATAATCAACACATATTTTGCTTAATATTTTGAATGGAATTACTAGTAACATTTTGCTTCGTGCTTACTGTGTTCTACTGAAGTTGTCTTAAAAATCTTATTCCGGTTTCTTTTTGTAGTTTTAATAGTATCTGTCATTCGGCTGTCTCTGCTAACATTACTGCCACAAAAAGATAGCGAAGTACGATTATCAGGGTTGTTAACATTGAAATTTGCATAGTCGTACAATTTGTGAATAAGAAATGATGTTTTGATAGATGTTATACTTGTACTGTGAAGTGCTCTCCATCCGCTATGAAAGAAAAACTATGGCATCAAATTTAGCAATTAACCTCTGTTACTTCAGTGCTTGTTGATTTGTCGATTATTTTTTTAATGCTGTTGTGATTAGCAGTTTAGTTATTGTTTCAACATTATTGTTACTATTTCTATCAGTTACGGTGTGCTTATAAAAGCTTTATGTATGTACTTTTCTCTTTGTGAAATAAATATGAGAAATGTCTCTTTGCAGTACAAAGTGGCTTCATTATTTCAAAGTAAAAAGTAGCAACAAAGATTGATTCAAAGAACGAAGAAAAACAGCCTGAAAATTCTTATGACGTTCTGTTATGAAAGGGCAAGAATTTAAATAAACAAGCCAGACTCGCAATATAATTGTAAAGGTGTATATTTCCTTGAAGCAAGAGTTTCGAAAATGAACTAAGTTTCAGTATAAGATAGTTCTAGGAACAAATCATTTTGATACGTATTATTTTATGCAAATAAATCATTCAAAGTAGACGTCTTAGTGGATATGGGAAAATATCATTAGAATATATTAATTAATAAGGACATCATCATCATCATCATGTAGATAATCAACAAAGAACCAGTGCGAAAAGTTACAAAGAAGTTGTCAAAATAATAGACGTAGCTTTGCTTTTACAATAAGATTTTACAATGAGAATTTCTGATTCAATGACTGAACAAAAAACAGCACTTGCTACGAAAATTCCGAAATTGTTTCAAATCGAAGACGAAGATTCAAAACCAGTTATTGAATATTGTGACAACAATAACAGTTTCATGGAAGAAAATGCTTTCTACATATAGAAATAATGGTGGGGTTGCAAGACATAATTACAGATTATGTTGATAGACGACGTTAATATTGATTCTAATTCGGAGAGCTTCATATAAGCGAGCTTCATATAAGTGCAATAAACTCTGAAAATTAAGAAGAGAGTCAAAATGAAGTAGTACATAAAAATTTTCAACATGAATCCTTTTCTGTCAAATAATGCCTTCAGGTTTGTAAGAGATTTTATGATGCCGTTCAGGGCAAACGTATTGCAATTTCGGCGAGTTTCTCTTCCAGTGCTTTTTCTAACACATCTAGATATTGGCTTATAGATAACTGTTCCTGGAATTAAAAGACTGCTAATAATCGCAATAAAAAAGAGTCTATTTTTCACAAGTAACAAAAAATAGCAAACGGTAAAAACAGATAAAGCAAAAAGTATTATAAAAAAGATATTAAAGTTCTTGCTCGAAAACAAGCCTGTTCAAAAAAAAATAATATTCGAAAAAAAAATTTTTAGAAAACTGATAAAAATATTTCAAATAAGTGTGAATTTCAGTTTACCACGGGTAATTTGGAATATGCGATAACAGGTAGCTGTCGTAAACTTCGACCGCTTAAACCATAAGATCTTCTGAAAATATAATAATAAACATGAAATTATTTTGATTTAGAAATAATATCACGATCTTTTACCTGTTATGATATGTGAACACATATTGGAATAACAAAATGAAAGAATTAGTGAAACTAGAGGAAATCCACAAATATATTCCAACCTTGATAACTGCATGAGCTTCTCCTTATGTTGGTCATCGGTACATTGTTCGGTTGTCCAGGAGGCTGATTCCACAATTCCAATCTGTAATTCACTACAATAGCTTTACACTAAACTTTGTTCCAAATATTCGATAAAAAATAGTAGGCTTAACTAGAGATATTTTTCAATCCTGAAAAGGTTTTCCAGATATATACTGTGCGTAAGGGTTAAGTTGACAGAAATTTCTTCCTTAGCTTAAATTTAAATTTAAATCCAAACAGCTGTTTCCATATGCAATGTTTAAACTTTTTAAACTAATTTTACGAGGCCAAATTTAGAAAGCATGGAAATAACAATATTTTAAACATGATGCAATAAATTTTCATGTTGAAACGCACGCGCTGCAATTCCGTAATACACGAACAAAATATTGCATAAATTGCATCTGGTGATGGATAACTAACCAATCGACTCAAATCTGTTCTATCAGTAAAAGCTTCATCTAGACTCTGAAAATGATTGACATGGATAACAAAAATCACAATGGAATTAGTGCCTGACAACTTATCGACATAATGCGCTACGAAATCTTCTAGAACATTTCACACTACTTTTTTTTATTAATTTAAAAGCATTAGAGTTATTACGTTTGAACTAATCTGGCAGCTTTCGTTCTTTTTTATTTGATTTCACAAATGATGAATGATGAACCTGAATCAAGTTAGAAGTTGTGAAAATGAAAACGTTGCTACGACGGCGTATATGATCTACTTGAGTGAGGACAGCATTTACAGCACGGATAGCATCTGTTGGTTCATTTCGATTTAAAAGAGTTCCCCGAGCTATGGTCAGACTTTCTACCTTAATCACTAACTCTTCAGTTGTTAAAATAGTCATTAACTGTCTTTGATTAATAAATGTATAAACTTGATCATATAAACATTTCAAGATTTAGACCGGAAATGGATAACATTTAGTTCGTGTTTATCGCAATTGACTCACTTCATCAATAAGTACAAATACAAAAGCTCTCTGATCCTCTGCAAGTTCTTCGATTTGCCCAAACATGTTCTGTATCAGTTTACCACTCTGAATAATATTTCAAAAATTACTTCTGAACTGAATAATATTTTAAAAGTTATTTCTCAAGGAGGTAATTCAGCCTAAAGATAATATCAAGAAAAGCAATTCGCCAAAACAAAAAATAGTATAATCCTATCCACAGTTACATTTTTAATAAAGCTGGTATATAATAAGTTGAGTTTGCAAGTGCACTAATTAAACTACCTCAGAGAAAAATTTCGAAAAAAGGCCATGACTGTTAATTTCTACAAAATGTACTTTGCAGTATTTCTGACTAAATCGAATAGAGAGTTTCTGAGCCAGTGCTTTACAAAGTGATGTCTTGCCTGTGCCCGGTGGTCCTAAAATAGTGTATTCATATCTGAGTAATTTCGTTGACAGGTTTGGGTAGAATTTTGCTTTTCTATAAGAAATTACAAACATGATCAGCAAATTGACCATCTAATTTCATTCATAGTAAAATTGCAGTATTGGTTTAGAATTAACAAGGAAATTTTCAAATTTATTACATACCATGTAGTAAAATTAATCGATTAACCCTCAGTACCGAAGAATTTGCATTTTTTTCAGAAAGCCTAACCAATGCATCAACGTAAGAAAGAAGCTGCAATAAAGTTTCAAGCTGCTATCACTAGTTTTTATAATGTTGAAAATGTGTAAAAAAAATGATTTTGAGGATATCTTTTTAGTTATGTATCTGTAATAAGTAAATATTTTCCTTTATGACCTCGGTAGAATGAAAGATTACCTTCAAAACAAGCAGTCAATACAAATAAAATTTAAAAAAGCTTGCACTTTCTGAAAGCAACAAATTTATACATGTAATATCGGTAAAAGAATCAAAACTCTTCCATGAAACGCTTAAACCGAGATCTTGATAAAGTACTCAAAATAAAATGGGAATCATTCCGTTCTTCAATTAAAGCTAACCTCATCCTTGATGCAATCATTAAAAATTAAATTTTCCCAAATTCCATCAAATTCGCTGCATGGTAATTCCCATAGCAGTGATCCTGCAGTTGTATGATTCTCCGTTCCAGGCTCACCTGACAGAACTTCAAGTATTTCAGCTTCACGAGTCAACAATTTATACATGTGTACATTCGAAATCACAAGCGAGCTGTCAGATAATGTTACAAATTCTCCTGAAAAAAACTTATACAGTTATGCTTGAAATCAAATGATAGGATATAAATTTTTCAATTTTATTAATAAAAGACAAACTTATGATTAATGGCAAAATAAAAATTTTTAAAAATACACACCTTCAGGAGTATTCGTACATAAAACAACAATTTTTTCCACTACTTCACTCCATTCTAAATTTGTTGGCATTACTATCGGATATCCATTTCGAACACCCTTCATTGACAAAAGGGTCGCATGAATTTCTGGTATGAACTTTTGAGCTTCTTTCTTCAAACTGCAATCATTGTATTGCAGACTAAGGAAAGGACTTGTAACTAAAGGTAACCAAGAAAATAATTCCTAGCAGATAGGTGCTGGAATACATGGTAAACATTCATCGCTCCCGGGTGGGCTTGAACCACCAACCTTTCGGTTAACAGCCGAACGCGCTAACCGATTGCGCCACGGAAGCACACCCATCTGCCATTTGAACTATGTATTGGTCAAAAGCAGTTTAAGTTTGTAAAATTTACTTCTATTGTTTACGAGTATGAAAACAAAGGAGGGAAACTTTCATGTTGGCTGGAAGTTCTTCGTGACAGTATTCCATATGACATTGGTCTTTGATTCACTATCCGTTCCAGCGGTCAAAATACAAAGCAAGATATGTTTATATTCTAATGTCCTGACGTTTAGATTATTCCAGAGAGAAAATAATACACAACTCTCATGCTTTTGGGATTACCTTTCAATAGATTCTGGACAACAAATATAGTAATTGAGTAATGAGCCAAATACAAATGTAATCTCATATTCACAGAGAATATTATTTACTAGCTACATTTTAAAGAAAAAAAGAACAGAAGAAAAGAACACCTACATTTTTGGCTTCAAGCACACTTCTGCGTGGAACGACGGAACAGGTTGTGTAATTTTTGGCTGTTCCGTAGAAAAAGCTCGTAAAACCATTGATCGAACTGAAGCAGCAACGTCATCAATGAAACTATTTTCCATCTTTACGCCGTGTATTGACATGAATGTAAGGTCCAATGTATTTTCTCCTGTTTGCTAAATTCAAACCTAAATTCAAAAATTTTCCCATCACTAAATCTATTAAAATAATCTTCGCACATGATTGCCAGCATGAACTATCTAACAAAACTTGACCTACTCACTTAACCTTTTCATCAAATTTAAATTGCAATCACGTGTTCTCACGTTACGCCACCAAACTCTTCTTTCTCCCCGCTCCCTTCTCACATTCTCTGTCCCATTGATTACTGTCAATTTAAAATCTTCGCGCTCGAACACTTTTGAAAATTCCAAACAATACAGCACTACAGCACTCAAATTGTGTGTGCCCTTCAATTTTGAAATTCCCTTGATTCTTATTACGACTGCTATAATATCTGATACAGATAGTGGAAAGTAACAAACGTTAAAAATTGATTTAAACTATGTATATTTAAAAGAGTTGTCTTGCTATTAAACTTACACTAATAACACCAATTAGTTACGGAAAAAAAATGCTATCCATATGCATTAAAAATAGTGTAATATTTGCATTTAGCCATATTAATTGATTATGGCAGTAATCAGACAGTAATTTTCCAATTCTCATCAACTTACTAATTAAAACTAAGGCTTGAAATGGCTGGTACGTCCAAAAAAGAAACCCTTCAGGAAATACCGCTCCTGCTTCCTCTACCGATCTCAATTTTATTCCCGTGCAAACAACATCAGAACTTTTAAGTCATATCCAGTACATACAGTATACATATATACTTGATTCTTGGAAGTGCTACTGTTTATTTTATGCAAATCAAATTTGTCTACAACCAGTCCTAGTCCATCATTCCCTGAATATAGGTTGAATTTAAATACTAAGATTATAACTATCAGAGCATGAAAAAAGTCAGAACAATGGTGAAGAAATTTATTTATATTTCTTCATACTCCCAACAAATAAATTCATTTGGCATAACAATCCCTCTTGTGGCTTGCGCTTCAGTTCTTTTCGTTCGTTAGTAACATGGATAACTCTACGTTATGCTGTAATGGGCATTCTTTGTATGTGGTTAGTAACTCAAACCGAACTATTCAGTTGTTTGTTCCCTTTTATATGTGGATCTCCAAATACACGCAAAGATATGTTTGTTGAAAGTATGACCTGATCGATAGCACGAAAAAAAACTTGGAAACGTCACGGTAATTATTTAGCTTTATTTTCTACTTGAAATAAGTGAACTTATGAGTAGTAAAAGGATAGTGAAATAACGATATTTGAGAACATAAGAACGATAGTCAGCATTGAAATAATAAGCGTAAGAAATTTCAAAAATCTCAGCTGTCGACCGTAATTAGTTTTTGCGGTTTAAATTGATTTTAGAATTACTTTAATGGCAATGCAAAATTTCTAAAATAGTCCATATCATATTGCAATCCAAACTATAAGTAATTTGATGGTAAAATCCCCAACTTGACATTCTTATTTATCACTTCCTGATTTCTACTCACATAAAACTCAGTCACCCATCGAATACATTATGAATGACTTACTGTCTTAGACGAATGTACTAAACACTAAAATAACCACCTACGGAATTTATTGTCTAGTAACAGCTAAACGAATGAGCACAATGTACCATTGAAACTGCACGCTATGTACAGCCATTACAGGAACTACAGACTGCACCCTACAGATAAGAAAAGAGTAAAAAGCCAAAGACTAACATCCCTATAAAGTTCAGTGCTTCATAACTGTATTTTCTTGCTATTCAAAATAAAAATCTAGTAATGTAAGTTGGAGAAGACTCACGCATTACTTCCAACTCGAAGAAAATAAAGATCGACTGATCTACTAATTAGATTCAACAAATGGATACTGCCTGGATGAGATTTTGTTGTTTTAAACAATTTATTCAAATCATCATGAAAAACATTTTTAAACTTCAAATTCATGACATCAATAGATAATTTTTCTAAAAATGTGAAACAGTTCTTACAAAATGCAAACAAATACTTTAAACAAACAACTCGAAAAATAAATTATTAACATTTACATTTACAACATAATTATCAGCCATTTTTGCTGATACACTAAAATTTCAGCGAGCAGTACGCTCGCTTCGATTCTTTCCCTCACATCAAAAAACTTTCTAACAAACAAAAATTTTTTTAATATGACAATATATACAAATTAAATTAAATTATATTAAGCGAAAGCGAAAGCAGAGATCGAATCCAAAGTCGTAAAACTTCTGTAAGCGTTGTTTCATTCGTGTTTTCCACTGATTCGTTAGAAATCCTAAATTTATCATATTTAAGATGATGAACTGCGCAATCAAGAGAACAAAAAATTAGGCCAACTATAGTACTAATGAAATTAAGGAAGGATGAGAATGACGTTTTTCAATTTTTACTTTACATATTTTACTGTATCTGAGAGAATGAAGCTATAACGAATGCCAAAATGTAATCAGTAGCTACTATCAATTTCGATCTGTTTTTTAAAATAAGTACTATTTACTACTGATTCAAAAGCTCTGAATAAGGACTTCATTAACAGCAAATTTTGCTCCTATTCGAAATAATTTTTGGTAAACTTGGCTTTTTTACTACTCATTTCATAAATCATATACACATCAGAAAAAAATGTAGAAAATTCCAAAAGAAAATTATTAATGATTTTACGAACAAAATTAACAAAGACTACCCTGCAATATAGAATACTGAAACAAATATCAATATATTTCAATTTTCTGCTGACACCTCGTATACCACCAAAATTTTACGCTCACTGCCTTCTTACAAGAAAAAATTGCGTATTTACTCAGACTCCTCTTTGAAGAAACAAGACGAAAGCACCTTGAAACTAGCGAATATTAACTTATTTTTACCTCAGTGGTTTTGGGAATGAAGTGCCTGGCTCATCATGAACTTTCCACCGATACTTTCTCGGTGGTTCTGCAGAGCATTCGGCACTCCTAATACTTCAATGGCAGTTACCCCAGCCATTTTTTTTAGACCAGGTGCTTTTTGATTGTTTCTGCTTACCTTACAAGAAATCGCACCCATAACTGTTGCTTTTTATGTGCTGGAAAGACACTTGAGTGGTGAGTAAGAAAAGTTCAGATATATAGAAATGATCTATTCTTAAAAATGTAAAACCGAATACTTTTATTTTAAACAATAACCTTGATAATATTAGATTTATGATCCAAAACCTATGATTTCTTCCTTCATTTTGCTTAACGTTCTTTGATTACAAGTTTTCGGAGAACTATACCTGAAAAACCAAACTTAATTACTATGGATTTTGCTGCAAGTTGATCGCTAATGACTTCGATAGTGACGAAGATATTGAAATAGTACTTAGTATTAGACACTTTAAATGTGCAATGTCAACACAATTTTGCTGCAAGTTGATCATCAGTAGACATTCAACTTTTAGTAGTAACCAAATAATACTTTCCGATAAAGATGTGAAATGTTACTCAATTATGCACAATGGGTTTTATAAATCTCTAGATATTGCTGCTGTCTCAGAACTCATTTGCCCTAATCATTACAATTTTTGCAAGTTTTTAAAAAACACACCGTGCAACACAGAGAGTAAAATGTGAACATTAAATATTACTTTGTATTCAACAACAATAATGAGTTCTAAGCCAGAAGCAATAACTAGGAATATATAAAACCCATACTACATGATTGAGTAACATTTCACATCTTTATCGGAAAGCATTATGTAGTTACTACTAAAAGTTAAATGTCTTCTAACCATTCAAACTAATAAAAAAGTCCCCTAAGCTTAATACAACAAGCAACCCACCAACACCAACCCTGACCGCTCTCTGAATGCCTCATTTGCCCTAATCACTACTCGCAACAACAAAGCAGTTAGTAGCTTTGCGCGAAAATGATGCAATAATTGTTTTCATTGACTTGCTGTAGAAAGCTTCATTATGAAAACTTTGTCCATTTGTCAGTAAAAGCAACACATGCAAGTTTTTAAAAAACATGTTAAACATTTTGAGCTTTTTTGCTTCCCGCTAGAATATATTTATATTCTATTACTAGTGATTTTTTCTGCTTCTGCTAAGACAGAACAATGGATTTGGTGAGAAAAATTGTTATCGATTTGATCAGCGCTCAAATATCTCTATGAGTTATCATTTACAAATAGCTGTCACACAGCACGCACTGTTCTTTCTATACTATGAATAAAATATCGTATTGGAAATTACTAATTTCTGTTATAATACGCATTGTGAAATGAATAGTTTTATCATCTAACACTCAAAAATGCTCTCTTTTGAGTCATTTTGCTCAATCGACCCAAAATGCTGAAATATGAAATGCAGCTGCTCTGTTTTAATAAGAATTAAATTGCTAATATGCTTGTGAATTTTGTTTACAATAAATCCAATACATTGAGTTTGACCTTTTCATGGAAATGCCTTTCATATATTTCAATGTATCAATACCTAATTATTACATGTGACGAAGCACATAGAAGTAGTATGAATGCAGTCTTCATTTCGTGGTGTTACCAATTAGACTGGTTATCTACAATCTTAATCATGCTTCAACATTTATTAAATGATATTTTTCAAATACTTTTCTGATCTTTTCGACTTTTTTTACTGCAATTCAACCAGTTTAGTGTTCTTCTACATCTGTAATAATATCCATTTTGGGATATTCAAAGGTCTTTGAAAACTTGCATCTCAAGTCTTCACTGTTCATTTCTTAAGATAATAATTATATTGATTGGTCAGAAAGATATTCGATTAGATAGGATTATTATGAGCATTTTATAACGTCAAACGTACTTAGTTAAGCATTCAATATTTATTTGTAATAATTTATAACAAATTAACACTGTTCATATTCATTGAAATATCACTTTGAACTTAGCTACAACATGATAAGCATCAAAACTGATATGGAACAGTTATAGTTAAAAGTATCAAGTTTTTCTTGGCTACGAAATCGCCAGAACTGCTTTAAACAGACCTACTCTTGGCTTACTTCGTATTATTATACTTCATCCGCGAACTCAATATCGTCATTTTTCGGTATGAAAGGAACACAGATACTCTTTTTCAACCGTTCCACTTTCTTTTCTCCACTATTACTAGCCATACTTGACATACGTATGAAGGATTCCATTTGTGCAAAACCGGTGTTCAATTCCTGACGGACGTCCATTGCTTGCGCAACCTTAAATTACACTTTATTTTTTAATTTTTTTCTGTCTACATCTTTATAAGTTACATTACATTTTATTTCGTATGAATTTATATTTCTCTATTAAGCCTTGCAAGAGTTTCTGCATTTATAAGTTTGCATTTAGAAAGTTCTTTAAAATTGTGCAAAGAAAAATTTTTAATGAAAATTAATTTTTGTAAACTTTAATGTACTCTACACTTAAAAATTGTAAAAAATCCTCCAAAATAATTTTATTTAAAGTCATTCATTACTTAATTTCTTATTTTGAACAATGAGTAATTTTCACTTTTGATTGTTATCGAAGAATAAAATCTTCTGTATATTTTGTGAATATCAAGCCCCTTTCATAATACAACTTATTATTAAAAACATTCAACAGATGTAATCAATCTGTAACCCAAATGATAAAATTTCACAAAAAATACTTTGAGGTTTATATTATTTTAAAAAACTTAAAAATAATAGATCAGCTAGAGAACCTTATAAAATTTTAGAGTAAGTTTCTTGACTGTATTTACATGTCGGCCCATATAATGAATGTAGTTGATTACATCTGCAGCCAGCATATCCACTGTTATTGTCACCATTATCACACCAATTGTAATATATATAATTAGGTATGGTACAGGGACAGGTGGCTAAATAAAAAAGTTTTTATTAACATCTAACTTTTGTTTCTGCTTAATTCTAAGCAAGTATAGAAGTCCCATATTTATTTTGAAATGAAAATAACGAATACTTCAAAATTTAGAGTAGGTTCCAAAAATTGAGTCATACTTGTAAGAAATTTAAAAATTTTAAATTACCTTCGATTTTAATGATTTGTTTGCGAGATAATACTTATCAGAGTACACTAAAAGAATTACTCGTTCATGTCTATGGAAAACTCACTTGTGTATCGCCATAACCGATTGTGAAAACTGATGTGATAGAAAAATGAATCGCATCGAGAAAAGCTAACTCAGAAAAAATAGTAAATACCACTGCGCCAAGAAACAAGTATGCTATCAATAAACTGAGGAAGCACAAACCGATTACTGACTGTAAAATTTTTTGCTTTCTGAGGTAGTTTGTTAAACGAAAGCAAACAAGAAGTTTTGAAACATTAAGTTTCTGAAGTATTTAATCATAAAAATATTTGAGTGATATTTAACTCCCGAAGCAATCAAATGTTCCTTCAAGTTTCCATTAATATTTTGCATGAAACTGTCAGAGTCTGGTATGCAAAATGAATTTTGGCTTGATATGTATTACAGTAATGTCGAAAAAATTTGTGCCGTATATAAGTACTTTTTTATGTATGTCTGTTAATTTACTTATACACCTTAAGGTATGAATGTGATATTGCAAAGTTTTCTGAAAAGTTAGGACTGGAATGCTGCATGATAACATGCACTACAATTTGTATCTTAGAAACTTGGAAAAATTTTTTATATACCTCAATTTTGTACGGTATACTGTTGATGAAACTAACTTTATTTGTATTTCATCTTTGCTAACTTAATCTCTAATTATATCATTTAAGGATGTACTTCAGGTATGAAATGCATCAAATAAGACGAAAAGAATTTGCCAATATCAGTTATAGTAACTATAAGCAAAGGAGCACCAATAAGACCATATATGATGAGAATCAATCGACCAGTTTCAGTAATTGGCGTGATGAAGCCATAACCTGTAAGATAATCACGCTATAAAATTCATTACCATGCTTAACAGTATATAAATTAAATTGCTACAATCAAGTGCTCAGACTATATATTTTGACAAGATACAGTTGAACAGCACGAAATTTCATTGACAGTAAATATTAACAAACAGAATTGAAGTAAAAAAAGTAACTAACCTAAATATTCGCTTAAAATGTAAACATGACATTCTCTATTTTGATCACAAGAGAGATCAAAATATGGGATAAATTTTAATAAATATTTGTTATGGTCTATTAATGAATTAGTTACATGTATCTATTGTAGTAACAGAAATAAGCATACCAACGGGTATAACAGTGGTGGTAGCAAAAAGTATGGAAGAAGTTAAAGTCCAATGATTTTCTTTTGTTCCACTTTGCAGATAATTGCTCTCGAACATTTGAGCTGCCTGATAGTCATTTGAAATTTTTTTCTCAAGTTTGAAGCATTTACTCATTTCCACTCATTTTGATTAAGTAAGGCAGTCAAGTTTGTTCACTCAGATTATCCTCTTGCTTTATTTGCTTGTAGAAGAATTTAGTAAGTAATTACATTCAGCATTCTATCTTTCTGCATAGCTTACATAATTAATTTTCTTCTAAGAAATTCGGACTCAATCTGTCCTTCATTTCTCTCCGTTCATATCGTTCACAGTGTCTCGTAAATCATTTCAGTTTTATGCACTAATCTAATTTTATTTTATTAGTTGGAATTTGGTTGGAAGTTTAGCTTCTAAGATAAACTTAAAATTGTATTATCGTTTTGTAAATTCATTGGTCACTGATCTATTAATTTAGTGATAAAGTAATTCTGTGGTCTCACTTCATGTGTTATGAATATTGGTTATAAAGTTTTTGAGTAAACTTAAGACATACTAAGAAACTTGAGAATTACTTAAGTATCATTAAAACATCAGTTTTCTTGTAATGCAATATAAAGAAGTCGAACAGAATTGTTCTCTAATTTCATTGTATTTGACAATTTCAAGCATAATTAGTTTTCAGTTATATTTAGTTCTAAATGTGCGTGCATCGTTGCTTATCATATATTCAAACACATATCAGTGCTATGTACTATAATGTACTACAGTATAATGACTAAACTGATCAAAATTGATAAAAATTTGATTTAGAATTCCTCAAAGATAACTGCATAATTATCAAAATTGCTGAATTAGAAATTATATATTTCTTTTCAAATTAAGTTTCAAAGCATGTACAACATGTATACTTATATGGCAATCAATACCTGAGAATTTTCGAAAAAATCAAATAGTTCATGCATATAGTTTTCAAATGTGATGTAGGCATCATTTTGTGTTAAATTATCTGCCAGTATGAATCGCAGAAATCTCTATAAATGTTATTGTACAGAAAACTTTCTCTTCACATAATAAAATGGCAGACTTCAATTCAAACATTTCAAATTATTTTCATGTAAATTGAATTAATTGTCTAGATTATGCTATATTTGTACCCACCCATTAATTAATAAAAAATAGATTTCTTAAGAGCAGTCTACTCATCATATGCAAAATTTGCAATGAATAGTCAAGTTCACCCACAGATTTGATTTCTTTGTAAGCATTAAAGTGATCATTGCGTAACTTAATTTGCATAGGTCGTTCAAGATATAAAAATAGCATCGCACCACCAGACACATAAAGCACAGTGCCGATTATTATGCCAATATGTGCAGCTGCAGCGCGCAACTGCAAGTTTTGTCTAGAAGTAGGTTAATGCAAAGCATATTTTTTTTCTGTCTTGCGACTAAAGAAATGAAAAGACATGAATGAAATTGCTTTATTAGTCTAGACAAAAAAATAAAATAGCAAAGCATTCAAGCACTTTGAAAAAAGATAATCACTTTTCGTGTAATTGAGAAATAGGAAAGTTTGTGAAAAAAATAAAACGCCTAGACAGTTTCGCTCTTGCCTTTTTCAACGTCTCAAAGAGCGTCATATAAGTTGCGAAGTGTCAAATACGCATACCAAACGCAAATTGGTTCGTATTGTTCCCATCCATACGACCTTTTATTTGGTCAAATGTAATTAGTATGCAGTAGTGAAGCTAAGCAAAACAATAATTCGCTTTCAGATATTGTTTGTTTTGCTGGAAAGGATTTCGAAGACTGCACCATTTCAGTAATTAATTATATATAATTTTTCATCTTCATTTAAATTGGCGCTTATTTAAGTGGTATCAGTGCTAATTTAAAATGATAGATTTAAATGAACCTCTATTTAAATAATGCCAAAAATGTATATGTTTCTTTTGTGTCTGTAAAAGATTTCAATTTCAGACACAAAAATTGAAAAAGAAATTTTTGTAGATATGTTTCAGACTGCATGAATACGAATCTCCTTTTGTTCTTTCCTTAGCTTAATAGAAATAAAATCAGAAGTGAGGTTATGAATAAAGAAAGAGAAATGATGGCGATATCACAAAAGTAAGCATTTTCAACTGCTCAAAAAATCAAACTTACTCTTAAAATCTCTTTCGACTGAAAGGCAAACATATGTTGAGCTAAATAGGAACAAACAATGCAAACATGTCATTTTATGCTTTTTGTGCCATGAGAAGTATTTTTTTCTTTAATCACTAAGATTCATAAATCTTTAATTCATCATCAATATAAATGATACTGACTTGCTGTCCTATTTTGGAAAAATAAATAAATAAAAGCAATAATGGAAAGAATGCTTTTAAGAAAATAATTTTCAGGGCCTTTCATTTATTAGAAAAAATTATTGACAACTTCAAGCTTTCAAGTATATCAAATAATGATGGCTGGATTCAGTGGACCATTTATAAGTTTTTCTCTATCAGAAATAACAGGAGAGGAAATAGTTTTAGATATTTCTAGAAATTCAACGTTGTTACTGCCTGTTTACTTCCTGCAATTATTGATACCGTCTGCAATTTTTCCATGAATTCACTTATTTTCGAAAATAACTATTGTGGTTATAATCAATTACATCAAAAACATCAAAAACGAAACTAATATTGATTAAATGTTTATTTATATAATATTTTGGTTAGAAGTATGTAAAACTATACTTCTGTTGAAAAAAAATTGTAAATAGTCCAATAAATGCAGGCATTATTATTTGATATGCTCGAAAGCCTAAAAAATTTGTCAATGATATTTTCGAACAAATGGTAAATTTCTTCTTCATATATATAATATGTTGCAAATTTTCAGACCCAAATTTGTTGGGACCTTCAAAGTTGGCCATTAACGAAGTTGTCATGCTTTTTTACATTATTATTGATGATACAAACTGTCGAGATATGTTAAAAGAATTAGAAATATACTACATCAATAAATGATGTAGTGTTTCAATTCCAAATAGGCTTCTGTTTTCAATAAAAAGCCACATATTATTTTACTAGATTTATTTTTATTTTGTCTTTTCGTGCTTATTTTATAGAAGCAAAGGTCTTCCATTTTTTAAAGAATAAAATAAAGTAGACATCAAAAGTTAATGACTGATGCCATTGATAAAATAACGATTTCAGATGTACGGAAGAAGCACAAGTTCAGAGGGAAATAAGGGATTCAACAATTTTAAAAAAATAAACAGGAGAGGGCTAAAATTTGTATGAAATCTCGATGCATATGAATATATAGCAAACGATTACTTCAAAAAGTTAATATGTTGACGAAAACTTGGATACTATATTCTTTTCTCACTCAAATAAACATGAGCGGGCAAAAGATAGAAAAGTTTACCCAGAACTATAATTTTTATTTAGAAATAATGATTGTGTCATTGATAAAACATTAAAAATTTAACAAGTAATAATACTGCAATAATACAAGATGAGGATGAATTATCACAATATGCGTGATAGAGTACTCAGTATTATTTTAGCTCTTTTACTAATACAACTATCATTTTTGTATCACTTTCAATTTTCTAGAATCAATACTGCACAACTCATTGAGCAATCTGTATCTTAATAATTATAATTAGCTAGTGAAAGATGCATATGAATATATAGCAAACGATTACTTCAAGTTGTTAATACGTTCACAAAAACTATAACTGTGCAGTATTGATTTTAGAAAGTTTTAGAAAGTACTGCGTGAGGGAAGTATTCTGTCGCACATAAGATTAGAAGCGTAAAGCCGAACATAAATGAACTTCTGCTATACGATTTTGATTTCACATTTCAAGAAGAAATCCTTGAAATATGCAGTTAAAATCTAAAAAGAAGTAAGAAGCAACTAATGCAAATTTTTTTTTTCAGTTAGAAGAGATAAATCAAATAATCATGATAGGATGGATTTGGAGAAAGTTCACTTTACGGTACTTTAGAAGAATAAACTTCATTTAATAATGGATTCAATTGAAATGTTAACGATGCTTCAGGAAGTGATTACTAAAATGATGTCAGTTTAGATTAAGCACAGGATTTCTGAAGGTTTAATCCGCATCATCTTTTACTTTTATTGATATGTTCCTCCATACTTTTTTAGACTGAATTTAAGTCTTAGAAGAAACTTTCTCAGTACTTAAATTTTATTCAGACTTCTTCCAAATAATTTTATACTTGCTTATAAGATCTCAATATCCCTAATTACTTAATTCCGATGTCTCTATTAAAAATTTTTTACTTCTGACAGCCAAAAATTGCTGAACAAACTCTCAGCAATTTACTGAAAATGGCTCTAAGTTTATATTATGAGCGGCACTTCACTTTCATAGTAAAAATACGTATCAATTGGAAGAAATGCTCAACTTCTCACTAGTTACAGGTTATCCAGATACACGAACTGTGTCATAACTCATGTATAACGTTATCTTAAGTTGTCTAATAGATACAACCAACTAAAATGTACAAACTTTAATGCTTGCAAACAAAAAAAGATGGCAATTTTTTTGACATTTCAAACTGTTGAAATGCAAAGATAAGCTGACTGCTGTATATCAGAATAACATGAAACGACTTCCTCCGAACAAATCATAACCAGGACTGCAATTTCAAAAGGCGCTAATTCTAAAACCAGTATCTCTACTAACATTGAATACATTACGAAGTACTAATTACACTAAAAGGGGAGATAGCTAAGAGTATGCTGTGAAAGAAGTTATCTTTAGACAACTTAAGATATGTCAACAGTGCAATATTCCCAAACACAACCAAGTACTTCAGATTCATCTAATGTCTTGATTATTTCTGACTCACATGAAAAAAACAATGACAGACTTCACAAGTTGCCAATGCAACATATTGGACGCATGCCCGACATCCCACTAAGCAACATCTTAAGTACAAATGATAAATTTGTTTCGAAAACTATCTTCCGTTTCTAAACATACAAACGCACAACGAACTTTTCCAGAGTGCAAAAGATTACCAATATACAATACATCAGAATCACAGCTGTTTTAAGCAGAAGTACTTATACTGAACACAGTAGCTAGGAGTTCTCATTACACGGTATAAAATAAATAAAGAAATAACAATTAGATCGAACAAGCTAATAGCAAACTTTAGATCTTAGAAGCGAAATTCGTGAGTCTTATCCAAAATTTTTAAAGTTTTTTTAACCAGCATTTTTCATGAGATTCTATTTACTGACTGAAGAAATCAGTTCTAATACACGACATATATGGTGAATTAATACAGAATAAATATAAATGTACACGAATTATGCAACGTTTCCTTTACATATTAAAAAGTTACACACTGGTAATGTTACTCATAAACACCTCAAACAGTACATAATTTGTGCGAATTAGATGAGTTTCAGCTCATGTTGTGTTTCAACACACATTTATTTTAGCCCTAATACGTATTAATACCTTTAAACTGAATATTTCGAACTTCTAGATCAAATCCGTTGTATATGTATGGATTTTATAGCAGTAAAAATTCTAATAACCAAACATATTTACCAAAATAATACTGCACTATGAAGAGCACTTCAAATTTACAACCCACTGCATTTTCCAGTGATTTAGAACCAATTAATGTTATGTTTTCGAAAATTTTCATACGTTTATCCCCAAATATGAAAACGCCAATGACGATCCCAGCATAAAACCCGATTCCCCTTAATTCCCTCACACAATTAACTGACACACTCTTCATCAATTCAAAAACAGATATGAAAATATAGCATAAAGAATCACTAGCAAATTCATGCCTCGAATCCATATCAACGATTTTTCAATTCCCGCTTTATGCGTTTTGTTGCTCGTCCACAACAACATCCGATAAGAAACAATAACAAAACTAACCCACCAAACCAAGTTAGTAACGAAGTTCTCTGCGGATGGCTGGCTATAATGTTCACTATTTCACCAAATGACTCTGGCAGTATCATCTGCTGTTCCTGAAGAAATCATGCTTCAGTCCTTTCAAGTAATTTATTAGAACTTTATCCACAAAAACACGAAGCTTATTAAAATAGGAATACTGTAAGGTACTAAATCTAACCGTATGAGCTTTATTCCATAGACTGTTTCGTTCTGTAAGTTTGTCTCTGCATGCCGATGAAAGTCTACTTTTTACATTTTTCAGAGCATCCAATAAACAAATAATTACTGTAAATAAAAACTATTCAAACCAAAAACCAGGATATCCAAATAAAAATAACAATTATTTCACTGTTGAAAATATTTTCTAATTTATACAAAAGCAATATATAAAAAATTTATTTACATCGACTTTGTCCAGGCGGCACATCATGACATAATCTTTGGAGATCATTGGCGCAAACCTCATGAAGAACTGGATCAAGATGAATATCAACCAATGATTCTTGTAAGCGTCTAGCAACCTACAACATCACACTTGCCGAATGAGTTTGTGAGTAGCATATTTTCTCATATTTCTGACAATGAAAACTTGTGAAGGTGATGATAAAACACTTTTTTATGCTTGGGTTCAAAAAATGTTGATAACAAACTTTAAAAATGTCTAAACTATAATACCTGCGCCACACAATCGGCATCTTTTATGGCACCATGCCTGAAATCTGATTTTAGGCATTCTAAAACTGAATCAAAAGTACCACCACTCTTCATCACACTATAAGAACAGTGTTTCGTAATAACATTCTTGCATGCTCGGTAAAGTTGTGGATCTAACTGAACATCAAATTCGCTCTCCAAAATAACGTTTGCTATCTAAAAAAATTTTAAATTAAAAAAAATTAACTGAAATTAAACATTTTAAACTTAATAAATAAATTTAAATACTAATATGCGCGTGAGAATTCTCATAATTTTTTACAAAAAAGCCTAGTCCAAAACTCAACATTAAAAAAAATACGTTTGACATACGAGCAATCATTCGCGAATCACGAGCTGCCAACTTAGGAGGATACTAATCCAGTGACCAGTAAAAATAAACTTTTAAAATGATTCAATCATTCTATGAAAAAGAAGTTAATTTTGTTAACTAGAATTTGAAGGATTGAAACAACCTCATCTTTGCACTTAGCATTCAAATGAACTGATTTCTGCGGATTCGTGTATTGTGTACGCAAACACATAACAAAAACGCCTTCTAGTGTTTTCTTAGCATATTGTGGATCGTTTATTTTCTTGTAATCATCGGGACAACTTGAAAAATTTCGTTTTGCTCGTCGAAAAACATTTCAAGTTCGAAGAAATTTCAACTAATTAGAGAAAAATTTCTTTTTCATGTAAGAAAAATAAAACTGAATTTTTTTAGTACGACAATTCAGCTCAAAATATTTTTGCAAAATGAAATATTTTACATGTCCCCTAATTTTTAATGAACTTACTACTGCTCAGCTTCTTCTCTACACGCTTCTAAAAGACCAACATTTAATCGCACATCTTTAGCTTGCTCTCGCATTCTTTCTATCACAATCTAAAAATGGCTTTTCACTCGTGCAAATACAAACCAAAAAAAAATTAAGTATTACAACTGATTTACCTTTTGACATTTGGATGACAATGAACGAAGAATTTTCATATTTTTCAAGCACTCCAATACTCGATCTCCTTTTTCTGCATGACAATATTTGTCTATATCAGTATGGCAATGGCGCTAAAATACATTAACAATTTTAAAAGATATATGATGAGTCCTGATTACATTTAAACACAAATACAGCAAGACCAGAAGAGCTGGCAAACGATTAAAATACACAAAAGGTGAGTTTTCAATGTTCAATTTAACAAGCGCACCAAATACCTGAAGTTCATCATCAAACTGATTATCTATAGCTTCGATTTTTTCGCGCGTGAAAACTGCTGCCTTACATTCTAAGCCTGTATGAATTCATTAATTACTGAAGTATTGACTACAAGAATCAAATTTTCAACAATTTGGATTCTTGTTAGGTGAATTGAAAAGTTTCAATTCATGCATTTTAAAAGTAATCTCAGTTTTAACTCTTTTCTACATAAATCACAAAATACAATACCAGAGCAACTTTAGGACAATCGACAATTCTCACATACTGTTATTCAAAGCTTAAAGGTTTCCATTCTATTAAGCATCACAAAAAGTCTTACCAAGCTCATCATATTTTACACGCAGACATTCAACAACGTCCTCAAAATACTTCTCTTTTCTGCACCCCAGTCGATCAAGTTCTTCCTCACATTTTTTCATTAATGTCGGGTCAGCATATAACATATGCGATTTATCATCGAACTGTAACGAAAAATAAGAATAACTAGAGACTTTAGAGAAAAGATAACTCGTACAAGTAACATGACTTTTAATTGAGCAGAGCAATAATGCTATGATTGGTACCAGCTTTTGATAGATGGGTCAAGAGAATAGTATATACTACGTATAATTACATGAATCAAAGTAAAAGGAGACCGACAAATTTCACGAAAAGACTATGCAAAATTAAAATTTTCAATGGAATTAATGAATTTATGGAAACTGATAACACTTAATTTTAATTTCTTTTCTGCTGACAGCAAACTATTTCAGTTTAAAACTTGGTTAAATTAAAAAACATAGAGAGTTAAAAATACTGAATAAAAACTAATACTAAACTAAATAACAATTATTTATGAGAAATGACTGTGAAAAAACTCACATTCACCTGTTCTTGATGAAGATATGCAGTCTTCAAATGTTTCTTACAATCTTTTTCCAAATCATCTTTTGTCCCCAACACTTTATGCTCAAACATGACAGTCGATAAACAACGAATCACTTCCGCTCTGAAGAACTGAACAAAAATCAAGACGTAATACGCACTAAAAATACTACCCACACTGCCAAAAAAGCATTTTTTGGTTAATGGGCAATAGTTGAATGTTATTTCCAATTGGTAGAATCCTAGTAAGTATGAGTGTACATAACAGACTTTCAGTCAAACATTACTAATTTCTTGCTAAATTGAACACTTCATGATTTGTAATAACTAAAAAATTAAAATTGTTTGTAAATGGTTTTCCAAAATTCCAATTACTAAGCATATGCTATATTAACATGTTGTAATGTTTGACTAAACTGTATTAACATGTTTAGATACACTTCAAGAAATCAGGATTATGATGAGCCTTAAATGATAGATCTTCACCGCACAAGCACAAATATAAAACAAAATCAAGTAAGTTTATTCGAATAATATGCATAAAACTATGTTTGGATTTCTGAAATAAAGAAAAAATAAAGCTGGAAGTTGCGACTAGAAAGCACTCTATTGGTAATTTAGAAAAACATACTTGTTTGAATTGTCTTCTGCACAATACTTTTTGATATCATTCGAGCAATAATGAGCAAAGCGTTCATCAAATTTGAAGTCACGCAACGTAATAAGCTCAAAATGATTAACATATGAACGACACTTGGATGTCATTTCCAACTGATACTTATTATCAAGCAAACATTCTAGCACATCTCCATGATCAATGTCTTCATTTATGTATTGCTGAAACTTGAGAATTATAATAAAACAATAATATTCCAGTTATTATATATAGAAATGAAAACAAAACAATTATATATATATATATATATAACTGAATAATGTTGTGATTATATATATATAACTTCTCGGCTTTGTCGAGGTGCTGAACAGTTGGCTCTGAGCATTGTGTTCAACAGCATAAAATGGAGGCTAAAAGAAAAAAGCACGCATCTGGAACCATAAATGAAAACAATGCGAAAACAGATACGGTTGGGAAAAGCTATGTGAAGGGTGTAAAAAAACATACTGCCAGTGTACCGGAATCCGGTGCCAGCAGGACGATCACGCTTGAAGCAGTCGTCCGTGCAATTGAAACTCCACGAACTCAAATGGCCAGGAGAGGCACTGAAAGCGGTCCTTGACCGATTTGGAAGAATGCCTAGACTGGGATGGCCATTCTGTCGGTCTCTGTATAGCGAGAAGTTTTCGTGTGCTGTTACCCTCGAAGAACTGAAGAAACAAGCGAATTCTGTGATCACCAGTATTGCAGGTCGTCCGTGCACACAGAAGCGGTTCATGGAGAAGTCCACGGAACGTTCAATTTACAAAATACGCAATTCGAGGA